TGCACTCATTCATGTTGTAGAGGAAGGGGGTCGTTCACACACACACACACACACACACAATGTGGACCATGTGGTTGCCTTGAGCAATCTGGGCCAAATACTGAATATTCAGAGATGTGGGATGCTTCAGTAGCCTTCCATGCGACGTTATGCTCAGAACGGTGGCAGGAGGCCTTGAAATCATGGACACGTTTCCAAAAGCAAAAACGTCCATGATTTCATCTTGAGTGAACGTGTCAGTTTGGGGGGAAAAGACCCCGTCACCACATTCAAGGCTTAAGACGTTCCCCTTTGAGACGCTTCTTGTCTACGATTAGGAGCTCGTTTGGTTGTTAGCAAGAATAAAAAGTAAACCCTTAACAGAATTATTAACGTCAATAAGATTATTCTCAAATACTAATGATGGAGAAGGTAGAGAAACGACCTCATGGCGACTGTGGTCTACATACGTGACCCCAACCACAACATGGTGTTTACACACCGTGTTCTCTCTCAAACGACTACGCTAATCTGTGTGTGTGTGTGTGTGTGTGTGTGTGTGTGTGTGTGTGTGTGTGTGTGTTAGTAAAACAATAAGCAAACAGGAAAGCTCAAAGAACAGCAGTGAGAAGCAGAAACGGTTCCTTTCCACACAGCCGAGTGGTTTGTGGTCTTTTACCGTTCGCGTGGAACACAACAGTAAGACCTACACAGCCGGGCTCAGTGGTCCATGAACAGAAACAAGAAAACATCTCAATAGTACCTTCAACGGAGATGAAACCAAACTAGGTTCTAAACACACTTTGACTGAAGCCTCCTAGCGTGAGACCGTGTCCATGTGGATCTTTTGACTGGAGCTTTGCACCATCACTTCTCCATTTGACAGCAGAAAGTTTGTCTCCCCTCATGACCACCAGTATTCACTTCTTCTGCATCCAAAAGCAAAAGCAAACAATATCAAAATGAAAAAGAAAATAGTCTACTGTTCGTGCAGTGACTGTAAAACTGTTCCTACGTGTCCAAAATAAGTGATGTGTTTAAGAATCCATGAAGCTGCTCACTGGGGCCACTTCCTTAACCTAGAATCAAGAACAGTGTACATGACTCTGTCTATTGTAACTATCCATCGGCTATATCTTTAGAAATATGATAAATCACATGAATGAAGAGTAAAGAACAAGAACATCTATGCACACACATATTATCCTCTTACTTTAGTCTTTAGTTTTCCTCATAATTGAGATAAAAGGAAAAGTTGTCACATAGAAGTGCTTTTGGAAGACCATCCGCCACCTCAGGAGGGAGAAACATCCGAGCTGTGTACAGTAAGGATGGGACCCTGTTGACCGCAACTGAGGAGCCCCTGAATCTTCTACTACGGCCTCTTTGGTAGAGGCGGAGCTGGAGGCGGAGGAGGGATCATCGCCAATCTTCACTGACCGAGGACGTGGTCGTCGTAGGAGGACGGCGTGAGCAGGTCACCTCTGGGTTTCCTCAGCACAACTGTGAGGGATACACTATGTGACAGGACCGTCCCTCTGCTCACACTGAACCTCGTGCACACGCATTAGAGCTCATCCAGGCGTCCCCACAGGTGAGAGACACGAATGTGACCTTTAACAACGGACAGTCTGAGTAGAACTGGTCAAATACTTGCCCACGTCTTTGTTCCTTGTTTCTTATTTTAATAAAGAATAGAGCAGCTAATTTAGGTTTGAATACACGGGGGACCAATGCAGTAAAATGCACATAGCGGCTTCACAAAGCATCCATTTGGTGTCGCGTTCGTTTCCGCCGCATCAAATACAAGTTCAAGACCCCGCCTTGTTGTTTCTCCAATTATGTTGCATTCTATCGCGGAATTACGCTGGAGCTCCACCGCTTTGTCAGCCGCGGGTCACAGCCAGCACGAGTGTGTTCATCAGCCTTGTAGGTCACAAGACAAGTGTGAGAGCGCGTTAGATGTGAGGGATGACATTTAAGTTGATTTAGCATGACACCATGAAGGCCAGTGGAAGATCATTCACATTTCAGTTTATGAAGAATTTGTGTCTCTGTTAGTGAGTATGTGTGTGTGTGTGTGTGTGGGGGGGGGGGGGGCCTTCTGCCACCATCTTCTTACCTCCTTCAGAGATCACAGTGGTTTTCTTCCTGTCTTTCCTCCGACCATCCTGTGAAAATTGTCTTCGATCCTTATCATTCATGTTGTTGGGGGATTCAATTCAACTGATACATTTTTGTCAGTTTTTTGTAATTGATACCATTTCATTTAGATACACCTTCCCAGAATCACTACAGATCAAAATACCAAATGAGGACTTTGAGAAATACCTAAAAAATACGAGAACAGCACACACAACGCCTCATTTGGCTTTGATCACCTGCATTTCAAATGTGACATTTAAAACATTGTCTTACCACATCACATCCATCTATTAACATTTATCCAAACAGGAGAGTAAACTGTTTTGGTGCCTTGGTGGGGTTGTTTATCGGTTATTGGTTAAATGCCAGTTAATGTGAATCTGTAAATTATATTTTGTAATGATGTGGAGCTTTGGAGTCCTAGTTTGTTCATTTGGTCTTTTGAGCCGACATATGAGACAGGTGCTGAGACAAGGACACAACGCCGGGTGTGTGTGTATGTGTGTGAGAATCCAGCGTTAAACTGTAGAGTACAGCCTTAATATTACAAAGCAATGACTCGGTACGTTTGAGCTCCATGAATTCTAAATGTGTTGTTCGCGTATCATTAGTCCATTAGGGTCCAGTATCGTCAAGAGAAGTTCATTGCTCACGTTCTACTAACTCGTCAAACAAAGACTTTAACCTTAACTTTAACTGACAGCGTCAATGTCCCTTTGAACCTCCGATTCCTGCTCCCCTTGTCCTGAAGTCAGCGGACCCGATCCCTCGTCCCTCGGGGGTCCCAGCTACAACCAGCACGGCACGGGAAGTAGGACTCAGGTGTAGAACCGAAAACCAGGAAATACATAGGAAAACCACCATCAAGGGGACACGTGACACTGTGATAACAGAAAAACTGAAAAGACAGTGGACCCACCTGGTTTAAATGCACTGGGAGGTACAGGAGATTGGACACAGGAAGGATCAGTTGGGGACAGACAATCACAAGGGAGGGAAAAACCCACCAGGGGAGGAGATGAAGCTAACCCAGGAACAGGAAAGCCTCGAAAATAACACCCCAAACACCAGGAACAGCTTCAGAAAGCTGACAGCTGACTCAAGTTGAGTTGAGGATAACTGTGGAGGACATGTTCAAGAGTCCTCTTAGGACTCCCATTCTATAGCAAATGAAAAAGTGAATTACAACAACATGGTCAGGGTCCCAGGAGCCCTGTTTGACAAGCAGGACATCTTGTGTCTGTTCCTGACAGGAATCAGAGCAGGCTGATGATGTCTGATTCCTGCCGTCTCTGCTGAAGGACGAAACCCAGCTTCCTACAGACAGAGAAACAGTGACCTCTGGGGGACAACCACTGCTGTTACATCTGTGTGGACACTGTTAAGGACATCACACAAAGTGGCTTAGCAGTGTGTTTGGTAAAAGTTGTTGCACAACCACAGGTATGTATGCATGTTTACAATACACTGTTGAGAGGGGGAGGGGGGCGGGCGGCTTCTTCCCAACAAGAAACAGCCTTTCACTGTTAGCATCCAGCTAGCTCAATGCACAGGTAGCCAACACAGTGGCCGGGACACCTGGTCGCCTGCAGGGGCCACGTAAGACGGCCGCAAGGCATGTTGTGAAAATAGCACTAGTTGACATGAATTAAACATTCTAGTTTCTGTTCTGAATGAATTTGATTTGAGCAACTTTGTCCTTCAGGAAGTTTGTAACAAACAAGTAGTCCTTCATACTGCTCCGTACCCTCGAAGTAGATCTCGCTTTAAAAAGGTACTTGGCCTGGAACACATCGCCGTGCCCGGCTACACACTCTGGTTCAAGAGATGTTCCTGTTCTCCTGACGGTGACCTGTTGGGTGGACAATGTCTCAACTTCAAACCACGTGACCTTTGTACCCAAAAGGTGTACTGTGTATCAGAGAAGTACATCAGTGACTATATGAAGCAGTTCTATTGGATCCAGTCTGGAGGGACAGGGAGGAAGTGAATGTGACTAGAAAACAAATAGAGATTGTATAACTAATAGGCTACAAAGCAAAGAGTTTTTTGCAGCTGGATGTACGATTGAGTTAAGTTTGCACGCTGAAATGATGAGTTATGTCATTATTATGTATCCTTTCCTTTCAAGAGAAGTGTCTAGCCTTTAACGGGCTGTAATAATAGAATTTAAATATATTACGATTTAAGAGGCTCAAACTATGCAGATATGAACTGTTTTGAATGAGCTGTCTATATTACGCACACGGCCTTCTTCATGAGGTCAGCATTGAAGATGGCCGATCCAATGATGTTTTCTCAGCGACCCCTGAACGACTTGGTTTGTCACATTGTACAATCAATGGGCCACAACACAGCGAGGAAATATTGTTGTTGCATTTCCTCATCTTTCGTTTCTTTGACTATTTTCACTGTTTGTGACTTCCTGGAATCATTTGAATGGATTTGACTGGTATTTCCTTTGCACTTTTTATTTTTTCTTCGGCTAAACTGAATTGTGCTCCTTCCTCCAGATGCCACTAATATCATTGGTGAACATAGTTGCCTGAGTAATGAATGGGCCCTTCTGTATTATTTCTATAGTTCAGGTCATTAATAAAAGGAAAACATAAAATACTGTAAAAACAGGCTATTATATTATATATATTATATTATATGAAGAATTCCTTAATGTCTGTGGTATTTTTCTGAAATGCAGATATGTAATGATGATTGCAGGGTGATGTGTTTACTGATCCATATGACGATATGACAGATATATAAAATATATCTAATCGGCCTGGTAGTGTGTGCTTCATAACTTGTGTACTAACAACCTTACGCCACTAGTGGCTACTGAAACCCAGCCCCCCCCCCACAGGTCAACTCTCTCCACAAACCTCTGAAATGTTTATTTACAGTACAGGACATACGTGTATAAATCTGTTCCCATGGAAACAGATTTGATTTTACAGCTTTATAACTGGAAGTCGAGTGCTTGGAGTCATGTACAGTTTCTAATGAGGACAAAATCATGAGAGGGTTCATGGAACATTCCTGTTAAATGTAAAAACAGAAGAAAATGTTTGCATCATGCACAGGATCATCAAACTCAGACGTCTGCAATATTACACAGAAATAACTCAAATAAAAAAAACACAAGAGCTCAATGGACAAATACTGTCTTCAAGCATGGCACCAAATACAGAATGAGATGAAATAAAAACAGGGTTGAATAAGGACGAGCTCATGCGAGTCACAGAGCAGCACTACAGACACACGATACCAAACTGTTGGCTCCGTATTCCCAGATCATGAAATAAGGAAAGTACACACTGGTTTCTCACTCAATCCTCACTGAGTCTGTCTGTGTTACTGAGGGACTCTTTTCCCCCAATGTCCCCTGTGGGAAAGAGATCGTCCTGAGTGATACTTCAGCCTGGTCAGGAAAGGCTCTTAGACCCCTGACCGATAAACCTCAGGTACCACATGTTTGGTTAGGAATGTTTCACTTCACGACTGTTCACACCAGCAGCACGACACATCTATCTCAATAAAGGGTTGGATCGATTTGTACAGGCAGAGACCCTGTTTACCCGAACCCTGTCTACCCGGACACTGTCTCCCCGAACACTGTCTACGCGGACCCTGTCTACCCGGACCCTATCTACCCGGACACTGTCCCCCGGACACTGTCTACCCGGACCCTGTCTACCCCGACACTGTCTACCCGGACCATGTCTACCCGGACCCTGTCTACCCCGGACCATGTCTACCCGGACCATGTCTACCCGGACCCTGTCTCCCCGGACCATGTCTACCCGGACCCTGTCTACCCGGACCATGTCGATCCGGACCCTGTCTACGAGGACCCTGTCTACGAGGACCCTGTCTACCCGGACCCTGTCTACGAGGACCCTGTCTACTCGGACCCTGTCTACGAGGACCCTGTCTACGAGGACCCTATCTACCCGGACCCTGTCTAGCAGGACCCTGTCTACGAGGACCCTGTCTACCCGGACCCTGTCTACTCGGACCCGGTCTACGAGGACCCTGTCTACCCGGACCCTGTCTACCCGGACCCTGTCTACGAGGACCCTGTCTACTCGGACCCGGTCTACGAGGACCCTATCTACCCGGACCCTGTCTACGAGGACCCTGTCTACGAGGACCCTGTCTACCCGGACCCTGTCTACGAGGACCCTGTCTACTCGGACCCGGTCTACGAGGACCCTGTCTACGAGGACCCTGTCTACGAGGACCCTGTCTACCCGGACCCTGTCTACCCAGACCCTGTTGACCCGAAGCAGATTCTGACTATGTTTGAGGTAAAGCGTTGTACATTCAAACTACTGTGTTTTATTTTATTTCAGTTCCCTCTGGTGATAATTGAATAACAATGTCTAGGACTTTTATTGAGAAAGGTAAGAACGGAAGGAGAGGATCTAGTCTGCCGTGTCTGTCTTTGTCGAGGTTAAAGTTTCCTGCCTGTGGTCAGACTACAGAGTCTCCATGTTCTTGTGCACATTCTACATTTGCAAAGTGATTGTCTGGTGCTTTTATCTGCAGTGCAAAAGCTCAGAGAAAATGACCACCTAATATTCACGTCTTGTGTGAAAGTCCTCAGTGTTCATTCCTCACGTCACTGAGCTGATTAAGAGAGAAGTAAAACGGTTTAAAAGTAACCTCAAACCATCTATCACTGCTACTTGTGTTGTTTTGCTTCTCACCAGGAGGCTCTTAGATCTAAATGTGCTTCCTGGAAGCTTTTACAGCTCCTTTTTAGGTGGTTGGTAGAACCTTTGACAGATACTTAAACTGGATCTATCCAGAAGCCCACATAGAGGTTCATACCTAGAACCGTGTATGAAAGGTTCCACCCAGAAAAGGTTACCTGAGCCAAGAAGCTTCTCTTGATGTAACCAGAATGCTCACAACGTCTGAAGGTGTTTACAAGAAGCCTCACAGTACGACGAGGGTTTCATTTAGCAGGTAAACGTCTTGGCAAAGGAAGGAAACAACATAAGGAGCTCCAGGGAGGGAGAGACAACCAAACCTGGAGCGTGGCTCATTTCTTAACTTGAGTATTTTATTCTATCGTACCGGCTAAATGTAATACACGACTGGACAGTTTGTCTCTAATAACCACATTCAAGGAATATGAATCAAAACTGTTTGTGCTTAAGTGGAGAAAGTAAAACAGTAACAGGCTATTTCTTAACCCTTTAAAACAATGTAGTGCCATGAGCCAGGCTCTGATCAGGAGGACACACCTTCCTAAAGACTTCAGAGCTTCACACATTGACCCTCAAACACCAGCGGGACCTGTTTATTCGCCCCCTCGGGTCTGTCTCTTGTTAAAGTCATAATAAGACTTCTTGAGTTGTCTTGCTGGAGATTTTACAAAATCACAACTTAGATATATAGCCCAAATATTTATTTATTGTTCTGAAATAATTTCAGCACCAGGTCCATTTAGAAGCTGTTCTGTAGCTCATGTTCTCCACCTAAGCTGGAGTGATATGATGGAAAGTTCCAGAAGAAGAACCAAAAGGAACTTGTAGTAAGATTGTTTCAGTCAGCTGCTGTTGACGAGGTCAAAGACAAAATCAGAGTTTTGTTTCTGTGTACTTGTGTGTTGATGCTTTACATAGCGACACTATGAGGCTCGTAAAAAGGGAAGATGTCAAGGAAAGTGATGCATTATGGGAGAAAACCAGAATAGAAAGAAAGGCTCTCACCTGTTTAAACAAAAGTACACCAAATAAAGGTACTCAAATGGTATATTAATAGAGTGGAATTCATGTAACGAGGTGGTTTATCCTTGTTGCCATGACAACATTTCACAGGAGGGGTGGTCAGCAGCTGAACTTCCCAGAGACCTCCTGCAGCGCACCGAAAGGCTCCTCGAACTTGAAGCGTTTGGAGATTGCCTTCTGCTCAGCGGCCACGGCGTCCCTTTCCGAGGGGGGGGAGGAGGAGGAAGAGGAGGAGGAGGAGGAGGAGGAGGAAGAGGAGGAATGGCGGCACTGACCCAGCATGTAGGCGGCCACCACTACCAGCTCCTCCGTCACGGGGCTCCCATCTTCCTCCACCTCCTCCTCTTCCTCGGCCACGGCTGTGCCACAGGGAAGGTGAGGGCTCGTGCTGGAGGTACTGTCGGCGCTGGGGGCTTCCTGGTCCTCCACTGGGGGGGTGTCCTCCGCCGTCAGGGGGTCCCGAGGCTCTGAGAACTGAAGCCAGGGGTGCTTGAGACACTGCTCGGCCGTGGCCCGATCCCTGCGCACACACACACACACACACACACACACAGGCACGTGTTACGCTCGGTGTGGATCGGGTGGTTTGAGGAAACGGCTCCGCGTTAACACGACAGCAGGGGGACGGACCGTGGCTGCTTGAGGAGCAGCGTCTGTATGAAGGACAGGGCGCCGCGGTCCAGCTGCTGCAGCTCCTCCTCGCTGTAGCTCACGTTGAGCTGGGAGATGTTGAGGAAGGTCTCCTGCTTGTTCTCCCCCAGGAAAGGAGAGATGCCCGTCAGCATGACGTAGGCCAGCACGCCGGCACTCCTAGAGAGGAGGAGGACACCACATCTGTAACGCATGAATCATTATTACTACGTACACCTCAGTCCCCAATGTAGGAGGGAACGAGAATGCAAATACAATATATAAAAACAAAGTAAAGTATTTTACACTTCCAGCGATCTTTTATCACATATTTGAGTTTATGCTGTAAAGCAAAGCTCAATATGGGCGGCCAGTAGAAGCTGAGCTGCACTCTGACGTCAATAAACCGTCATAATTAATACAAATATTGTTGTGCTGCCATGAAAATAGATCCATGTTTGTCATTTGCAGAATGACTTGAATCTGAACAAACAACAGTCCCGTCCTGCTGGTTTGAGATTCCCTGTGGCTGTAAACACGGAGACGGAGTGTGTGTTTTGCCAGCACCACTGGGGGGCGCCATGAGGCAGACGCCTGTGTCCCTCTGCATCCCGTGTTGGGACGGAAAGGTCCTCTTACCACATGTCTGTTGCTGTGCTTATGGGCTCATAGTTTAGAACCTCCGGAGCTGGAAGGCAGAACACAAACACACCAGTTAGCCTGAGAAGGAACCGTGTGCATGAAGGCCTGAAGCGCTGCGACTCACCGACGTACTCCGGAGTCCCCATGATCTCCCTGAGCTCCCGATGGCTGCTCAGCACCCTCGACAGACCAAAGTCCACGATCTTGATTTCGCCCAGCGGAGAGCTGCTGGTCAGCAGGATGTTTTGAGGCTGACGGCACATCACGACACGTGTTGGCGTCAGACAGGAAGTACGTACAGATCCCACACAGGGTGGACCCAGCGATGAGCCACTACAAGAAGACCTGCACATGCAACGCAGGCCGAGCCCTGTCCACTGACCTTCAGGTCCAGGTGGACCACATTGTTCTGGTGGAGGAAGGACACTCCCTCCAGGATCTGCCTCATGAGCCTCTTCACGTCCTCCTCGCTGAAGACCTCCTCCTTGTCGTCTGACACACACTGGTTGAAGATCTCCCCTCCAGCAGCGCTGCACACACACACACACACACACACACACCCACAGAGGCAGACATTGTAAATAGAGTCCATCAGATCAGGAATGTTCACTTGCCTCCTTGTCTCATGCAGGGTTTACTAGTGTCCATCCCGTCCCGGCTGCAGCGTGCACCAGCGGGAGATGGACCAGTCACTGGTTTGAGACTGGGAGGACAGCGGAACCAGAAGGGAACCCCAAACACAGTCTGACCTCCTCATCCACAGCCATTACGGGCCGTATGAAAGGCACGGCCCGTCCATGAGAAACGGTGGGAATAAACCCTTCTCCTTGGGGACAATGTGTGCGTGCCCCCTTTCTGGGGGGCAGGAACAGGAGAGCAGAGCGATGGTGGTGACCTTTGCTTGAACAACGTGGTGCTGACAAAGTGCTCTCTGGTAAAGTGAACGGCACCACGTCTCCGTCCCACAATTGGAGCAGGCGCATGACGGGACAGAAAAAGACAGCAGTGCGGTCAGGAATAGATGCGGCGTCCCCTCCGGGGATGCTGAATTAGGCGTCAGCGCAGAGGAGCACCGAGGAGAATGTTTTGGTCTTTTCAAGGTCAAAAGAGAAGCTTTTTGATCCAACTGGAGAGAATAATAACACTGGAGGTAACTACAGGTCACGGATCCCGGTGGTCCCTTCCACTGCCAGTAGGAGAAGATTCAGATCTTGGAAATTGGGCATTTCATGTAAAACAGGATATGGACCATCTACCTTCTCAAAGGGGGGGTGAGAAGGGTGAGTGCCCCCGTCCTTTGACATTTCCCCCTCCCTCCGCACGTTGGAGCCTTTGACTCAAACTCATTTTGTTTTCCTTTTCTACTTCTCATTGCTATGAACGGGACTAATTCTCTAGTGTTCTAAATGTCTGTGAGTGGGACCCAAACCCCAGAGAACCGGTCAGAGGCGTGTGTGACTTTGGGCCCAGGGAAGGAACGTCCTGCCAGCAGCCACGATGAGTCACATGGGAAATGCCAAATGCATTCAGGGGTTGGCCGAGCTGCTTTGAAATGAGTAAAAATGAAGATAAACAGTTGGAATAAAGTCTGCAGTGACGAGGATCCGCTTCAAGTAAGAGGTTTAACAAACTGTGAGTCGAACCCTTAAACCTGAGGTGATTTACGCTGAGATGAAACTCTGAGTTTTGGGTTTAGAGTTGGTTCAATCAACCCACCACAGTATGAAGGCAGCATGAATGGAGCCATGATACCACCATTCACCATGACAACCACCACAAACAATCGGTCGGCATACGTCACCCCTACTGAGGTGGAAACATTAATGCAACCAACGCCGAGTATGAACCCGTTATTAGAAAGAAAAGCAACACCGCTACTGCAGCAAAGGAGAGAGAAACGGTGTGAATTCCAATATAGTGTTAATATAGTTAATATTAATTTACACACTAATCACAATCCATACCTTTTACTAATTCCCAGTGGGAAAATAACATTTTTTACACTGTTTGATAGAATGCACTACACACAGGCTTGTTCATATTTAATCACAAGAACAACATCGCTGGTAAAAACTGGTACAATGGTATTGGACCTATAATGTATTTTATTCAGGTGCATCCTGTGGAATTCTTCTTTAATGGCTTCACTGGTTTGTGTCCAGGGAACAAAAACGTTTAAAAGACGTTTCAGAGCGAGGCAGATGTTTCTTACTGCTCTGCAAACAGCAGCTTTACTAATATGATGCTGTAAAGGAAACAGATAGTACACAAAGAATGTGCTCGTATGTGAGACTGTCCACCATGAGTGACGTTAGTTATGAGGACCGGTGAGGTTATGTACATATTTGATGGGCTGTGAAACAAGTAGTTATGTGGAAATGACCATATATCTCATCAGGCCTCAATATTCTCTCCAGACGTGTTTAAAACCCTGCAAAGTAAAACCGCTTCTTCATCAACAGGATTGTCCAGAAAAGGACGCGCCACCTTCCAGAAAACACTTGAGTCTTTAACGTAACACCTTATTTTGTTCATATGTGGAAACCGCGCTAAAATCCGCCTGATACAGAGGAACTGGATGAATGAGGAAATGAAAGCGCGCTGCGTGATTGGCTGGGCTGCTGTCGGAGGGAGGAGACTGTGAAAGAAACTCCAGGTTTATTGAAGAACACCTGCTCCCGACCAGGTGATGTTCACCGGCTCAGTTACCATGGCGACTGACCCTGAGCTTTTGTTAATAGACATAGATAGATGCATTTAGGGAGGAGAAGCAGGACTCAGACACACAGCCAGTGCAGTGAGTGCAGGTTATTTGTCTCATCGAGGTGATCGTTTCTGCAGCGTCACTGTGGATGTTCTTGCCAGTGATCCCAGTGGAGAGAGAATCACAGTACTCAGTCCTGGGGAGATAAAGACGTGGACGAGCTTTTCTGCATCCGACAAATGGGTCATCCACGCTCCACACAACCCCCCCTCCATTGATCCGCTCTCATTGTCCGAGGGGAGCCTCTGGCCGATGGACAAGGCAAACATCACGTGGTGTAATATGTGCACAGCGATGGCTCCACCTCCACGGGGCAGACAGAGGGACACAGACTTTCCATGGGGAGTTAAGCTACTTCTTTTTACTCACTTCATTTTACGTCGACTACTTAAATATAGTAGAGAACGAGACTATGCAAGCCTGGCTCGACTGGACCCCGTCAACATAGGACATTCCTTTTAATACCAAGTGTATTTTACATCACATGACATCACAGGTCATTTAGCTGACGCTTTTATCCAAAGCGACTTACATTACATTTTTACCCGGGGAGCAATTAGGGGTTAGGTGTCTTGCTCAGGGACACTTCAACATGGGACATGGGGCGGCTGGGACGACGATGTGTGTATGTCCACAAGACAAACATTTTCATATCCACGTAGCCCCCCCCCATCCCACCAAAAACTGCATATATGACCAAGCAAAATGCTGTTTTGTCAAGGTTACATAATATGACAAGCTGAAAACAGTAATAAATTATTATTATATATTTACAGTTTATTCCTGTTAATTCCCATGGAAAGTTTCCAAATTTGAATTTTCCCTATGTGTGTTTGTGTGATGTGTTGCTCGGTCTGTGTGTATCTGTGTGTGTGTCCTTGGCAGGCAGCAGGATGCTCACTCTGGGGAGCAGTTAATTCTGGGATTATCCTTTTTATGAACAAAGGCTGGGATTGGGATTATGGGCCGAGGGAGGGGGGGGTGTTCTCCCAACCAGGACAGATTGCATTGTGGGGCTTGTGCTGCTGACAGGAAACAATCCCGTCTGTCACTCAGTGTCCTCGCGCCTGAACTGAGAGTGGTCGTTCAGAAAGCACGTGGAGACGGGACGCTTGTTCACATTTCTGGAGTCCGGCGGCTTAGAGGAGCCATTTCACTGCTTCAGGTTTCCTGCGATAACCAGAGTGAAACCAGAGAAAAGATTGTCCCAATGAAAGCGCCGCGTAAGTGTTTACAACGTGTTGCCACGTCCATGTAGTGCAGCGCGAGCGAAGCCGTCAGAACACTGGTGGAGCTCAGTGACTAGATGGCACTAATGCATCAGATGCCCCTGACACACACGTTCAACTGCCTACCAGCCTCTGTGTGGTAATATGGTATGTGGGGGGGGGGCAGAGAGAGACTTTCTTCATCAGGCCGGCATCCCATGAACTGCACCCACACACACACACACACACACACACATGCTGTGGGAACCAGGTCAAGCATGGCCCAGGCACTGAGACCGGTGGGATGAGATCAACAACAACTGGTTCGGCTGCTGTAGTCCACACAGTGTAGGGCCCCGTGTGTGTGTGTGTGTGTGTGTGTGTGAGAATAGCTTGTGTTTGCTGAAGCATTAAAGTCTGGACTGAAAGGCTGCAGCCATGAGGCGCACGTCACGCCGCTCGCTCTCTACGTTGAGCAGAGCTCAGTGTGTCACCTCAGCTACAAACCCATGATCTCACAATAGGACACGAGATACTAATATTTATATTTCAATATTATTCATCATATTTGGGGACGCTCATCACTCCCTTGTTAGATTACATTTCACCCACCAAATAACATCAGTTCCAGACTCATAGAGTCATATTATATATATATATTATATAACACCTCTCCTCATAGTTTTGCTGATGTTGAAAACCGCGTTAGTGTCCACGGTGACTAAAGGTGTTTGGGGAACAAATTGAAGGTGTGCGGGTGTGATACTCACAACTCCAGCACCAGCACCATCTCAGACGCCATCTCGTAGACCTGGTGCAGGTTGACCACCCGAGGACTGGCCGTGGCCAGCTCCAGCACTGCGATCTCGTGGATGATCTCCACGCGGCAGTCTTGGCCTTTCCGTCTCTTCCTCATGAACTTTGCAGCGTACTCGTGGCCCGAGCATTTCTCCACACACTTCCTGACCACGGCGAACTTCCCCCTGCAGGGGGAGAGAGCGTCAGAAGACCATCAGGACTGCGCGGCCATGTTCAGGTCGGACCAGCTGTGCTAAGGTCATGGCTGATGGATGTTTATATGTGCGTCCTTCATCATTAGGAAATAACCATTTGATCCCCACGGAAATGCAGCGACAGAAAAAGAGACTCTTGGTCTCAAATTTCATTTATAAATCCCACAATGCAACGCTCTGCGTTCTGCGGACGGGAAATAAGTGACTCTACGTGCAGAGATCAGGAAACATTCCTGAGAGTTTCTCAAACACAACCTGGATCTTCTGCATCCGAGCGAGTTCATTACTGCTTCCTTGGCTCCGCCTCCCCGCAAGTCCAATGAGCTCACAAAAAAAACAATCAGCTGATTTACAGACATTCCTTTTCCAGCGGTTCCCCCTGAATGGAAGTGCAGCTCCCCGGTGGGCTTTAGAGCCTCGTGCTCTCTGGGTTTGTTGATAGGAAACAGCGTTACAGACTGAAGGCTGACCTCAAGTCCCTTCTGAAACAGACCGATGGGCGTTCTGGGTTCACGTCGACATCATTAAGCGGACAGATTTGGCACTACAGCCGGCGCCGCCTGGCCTGACCCACTTCCATTTGGGGCTGGAGGGTGTCCTCGGGTGGGACCACATGGGCCCGCTGCCCAGGGGGAATCCTCTGAAACGTGGCTGCTGATTGATTGTGCCTTCCCCTCTGGCCTACGCCGGGCCAATAATCAGCACAGCGCCTGGCTGGACCCGACCAATCGCTCGCACGCGACGCAGCGGCTTTGCCTCCTCCTTCGGAAGGCGGCGGAGATTAAACGGAGTGTTTCTCATAAAAACATTATGAGAAACACACATTGTTCCGTAGTGATTTGTCGCTGCTAGATGAACAGAACCAGATGTTTATCCTGCACCACATCATCATCGGTGTAACAGCCATATTACGCCTGTTACCGTATTATACAGTAAGTCCTGCGTGTGTTGCAGAGCGATTCACTTCCAGAACAACAGGTGGAGTCACGTGTTCTGTTGAAGACGACCTCGTTGGTTGCTTTATTTATTCATCATAGACTTTATTGCCACGTGCATCCACACTGCTGCTTTTCATCAAGGACACATTTGTCCCGTATTTTCCTCCACGACTTTGTTCCCTCGTTTGCTGCGATCTCCCTCCATGAATCAGAGGCCGTCCGGCGTCCTCATAGTCCGCCAATGACGGCTTGCACAAGCGCTCATATTTACGCATTTCTTCCCACAAAAGCTCTTCAGTCTGATCCGTTCTCTCGTACAAAATCTTTGTAACGTTGGTATTGTTCTATGAAAGCGTAAACGTGAGACTCTGTAAAGGACGTAGTTAGCGGACCAATCGCCGCCTTGCGGGCTGCAGGAGGCGTCGCTTTCGACGCGATCCTGTCACGCCTCCTCGTGAGTCCTGCTGGTGGGAGGAGCTTCAATGCTTACACACCTGCGCCTCATCAGAGATGAACAACTGGATAAAAGGAGGACCTGACGGCCGGTCCCCGCCGGATCGATACGTCACTTTTGGGCTCCTTCCCGAACTCTGACAAATCCTAGAAAAATGGGTCGACGCGTCTCTCTGAAAACGCAGAAGCATAAACTAGGCTTCAGTGTACGACAGTACTTAATTATTAAATATTAAACTTAAGTATGAGACTCAGGTTATCATCATTATTATCTGTTAAGAATCGTATTAACATCATTTAGTTTTCATACTTGCTGATGACCAGAACATCCTGATATTAGTGTGCATCCTCCCAGTCCTCCCAGTCCTCCCAACGAAACCATAGAGCCCCTCCCCACATGTTGAATCCCAGTTTGACCCCCGGGGGCGTCTGAAACATTAGTTCTAGTTGTGGCCTTTGTGATGTGGGGAATAATCCCCATCATTCTTTAATAAAGCGCAGCTCGAGTGGGGCTACGGGGCCTCATGTGAGAGTCACGGGGCCGAAGCACAACACCACTGAGCTGGTGAGGCGGACCCCGTCCCATCTGTGGTCCAATGGCAGCGAGCCACATACTGTCCTGGTCCTCGAGCAAGACCAGTGATGGAGCACAACCTCCATGGATCAACACTTAGATTAGAATTCTATTGGCACACATACGGCGATGTAACATGTTTAAATACTCACGCAGTGTGTCATACATCATTTATTTCAGTGGAAGGTTTCTGGATGAGCACGAGACAGACAGCAGATCCATTTCTGCCCCTTTTCAAATTATAATGACACACCATGAAGTATGGTAACAGTGGAGCAGAGCTTTCCCAAAGCACTGATTGGTTACTACATTGAGAAGAGGGGGGGGGGATTGCTGCAGGCTGTATTGGATGGTGCATCAGAGCCCACCTCCAACACAGCCGGCGTACTCCGACATAACCCCTCAGGAATGGATTTTTCCATTCAACTTTTTGCCACAAATCAATGCGTCTACCCAGCAGATCGGGCCGATATCATATCAGTCATCTTTCTTTCCACATATGTCAGCATCTTCCTCCAGGTGAGAAACAGCGCGTGTCGGGGCGGCCATCTGTGGCTAGTATCGCGTGGAAAGAGTGGTAATGTTGTCCTAGAAACCTTACTCATAACTCCTAAGGAGGACATGGAGGCTGTCCATGGTGCGCCATGTCTTATATCACAGCTTTTAATAGAGCAGAATGTAGGTTGCCGTCAACCACATGGTGATTATGACGTTTGAGGTCATATTATGGTGCAGCTGACATACTTTGTCTGATGGACAATCTCAGCGCCCTGTGCTAATTAAATGTGTCTCCCACTACAACAGCGTGTGAGCCGTCAGACTGGTCTGTGGCCCCGGACGCATTTAATGAAATACTGATTTCAACGGGCCCGGGGGCCAAACACTCCCACCGGACGTCGACGGAACCCCCCCCCATGCTGCGCAGGGACGGATGAGGATGGGAGGAGACCACCGGACCCTTAGGGCTGTAGAAATAATGACCGTCTATGACCTGCGTGGGCAGGACAGTCATTAGGAGTCAGGAAAAGACAACCGCAGTGTTTAGGGAATCCGTCTCCCCTTCCACTAAGCGCCGTAGTTCTGACGGGAGACGCACGTTGGTGACGTGACGTCAGTCTGCAGCGTGAAGCTACAGTGTCTCCAGAGACGGACCACAGAGAAGCATCGTAGAGGCCTGCATGTGTTACAGTGTGCAGTAAAAATATACATAAATGACTTAGTTTCTACGTCATGATCGTTACTCCTCGTGAGCGGCGAATGATGTCACCATCTTATTGTGGGACGAAATCGTCTCCTTTCCTTTGGTAAAGGATGCTCGAGTGGTTCCTATGCTAAAGGAGCTCAGTGAGGAAGCATTGAAGCTCCTTTCCTTAGCATTAGGGAATTCAAACAGAGCACTTCCACCAGTTCACTTCATTTCACTGAGTGAGGAAGATATTATCCATCCTCCGTCTTCATCACAACCGTTTATGGTCTCAATCGCTGATCTGTTTAGTAAACGATGGTCCATTTAGAGTCGAACAGACCATAAAGTGTGCTTCAGTTGTATAAAGCGTCTCCACGTCAGTCCTCCGCATCCCAAATGTGGTCCATCTGTCCACGGCGACGCCTCGATACAGAATACTAAAACACAAAGAGGTGGCTCCACCAGCCCCACATGGGCCAGTAGGAGAGTGGCCGAGCCACTAAGACCCCACGGAAACCGCTTTGGCTCTGAGCCATATGGAATTCCATGCCTGCTTCTCCGTCGTGGTCTCCAAAGGAGCTTGGCTGTGGCCATCTGGGACTCCCACCGCACAGCCCCCCTGCAGGGGTTTAACTTAAATCCCCCCGCACACTCACTCAGCCCACTACAACTCCTAAATGTGAGGAAGTATCCAGATAGTGGGGGTCAAGCGGCAGCAGCATTCTTACCCTTTTTATCCGTCAGAGCTGATGGACAGAAAAATGCTTTTGACTTTTCCGTCAATTCAATTCAGTGTTCAAGCTAAATAATAAAAAGTGCCCAAACATCCCCCTGATACTGTGTCTCCAATGCCAGGCCGTGTGTTTGATATAAAGTCAGTACGGCCAGTGGACAGACGGTGTGAGTGGGTCAAACTGCCTCTCAGTCCCGCACATGGAAGGAGGTAAAAGAAGCTCTTGTTCGGAGCAGCTGAAAGGTGGTTAATATCTCGTCATTAATCAGAGAAGTGCTGCAGACCTCCATCACTCAGAGAGACCAGTTAGAAACACGCACACACACACACACACACACTCACTATGAACCGACGAGCTGCTGCAGGAGGAATGTTCTGCACACTTCGGTCAGGATCGCGTGGAAACACAAACCGCGCTCACAAGCGGCAGAAAGCAGGTCGCATTATGAAATGAAAACAACAGCGTCGCTACTTTCAACAGCGGCGTCCATTAGCGCCGATGAGCACCACAACATCGTCTCTGCCGATAGGAATAAGGCGTTCTGCACACGGCCACAAACGTTACATCTGCGGAGGAAGTTTAAATCCTTGCTGGATGTTCAGCGCAGCGTGTGGACCAACGAGCCGTCGGGTCAGAGAGAGGAGACGTTTGACCCGAGGTCACCTCGGCGATCAGCTGATCTGCCATCACACTGGTACCGCAGATCAATGCCGCCTTTCATGTTCTGTGGCGGCTAATCTCCGTCACAACGTCGGGCCGTGCCACGCAAAGCCACACACACACACACCATGTCGTGGCCTTACACCTCACATTACAGGATGTTGAGGCTGAAATAACTTTGGTAGTGAAGTCTAAAGTCAGCCCCCATCTCTGAAACGGTACATGAGTCAACACACACACACACACACACACACACACACACACACACACTGTTGGCTTCATTAAAAAGCTGATGAAGAACCAATGCAAGGGGACTTAAGTGCTAAGGTCATTAGTGGGGTAAAAGCATGTTCTAATCAACTTGGGATTGGCCTTGTGCCTCCGGGGGGGTGGATGGGGCACTTGCTCTAATCATCCACTCTGGACCGATCCCGTGAAGCATTAGTTGATCCCAAGAGTCGCTGCTAGCGAACTACAGGCTGGATTCCACTGTGCTGCCGTCCTGATAGTTTATTCATAACGTTGTGTTCAATGACACAAAGTACTTCCACAATCAAAGTCAGCACGACCTCGTTTTGGGCATCCTCATTTTGAAGTTGACTGGTGATGTGTCGCCATGACAACGTACTCTGTTTCCAGTGCCGTGCAAAGGGGTGAAAGAAGCCGACGTCGATATTGTGGAGATGTGGAAATGTTTTTTCATCGTTAATATCAGATTCAAACTAATCCTCATGCTAAAGAGGGTCGTTCAATAGGAGCGTAGAATGATTTTCACCAGTTACTACTTTGTCTAATTGCATTGATAGATTCATCCTGAATTTACCAAATGTTTTATTTTAATTTTATTTGGGCACTTTTTTTCTCATTTTTAATCAGACAGAAACGATCGCTTGGGTCAAACTCCTCTGTGTTGTTAAGGCTTTTAAATAAGGGTGTGTATATATATAATGTATATAAATATGATATATACATTATATGGCATTCAGAGCCGAATTTATATGAAGATCCATCACTTAAAAAGCGCCTTTGTCAGCATGATGGTTCATGGGGTGACTCGTTGATTTCCAAACAAATCTTTGACTGTTGTGGATGAAACAACGTTCAGATTTATATGGTCTAATGTGCTTTTATAATCATAAAAGCACGTAAATCAGCCACTGTTGAACTTGTCCCGACAGGTGTGTTCTTACCTCCCCAGCTCCCTGCCGGGGATCACGGTGTAGTGGTCGGTGAACGGCTCCTTGCTGATGCTGGTCCGGATCTCGGACAACAAGCCGCAGGGGCCGCGGCTCGGTTCGGCGGCTCGGCTGTGATCCAAGCGGGTCCGACTACTCGGGTCTTCGGCTCGTGGACATTCGGGGATCATGGCGCCGTTTAGGGGTTCGTTCAGTGGGTCAGTCGGGGGGGGAGGGGGGGGACCGTAAGTACAAACAGCAGAGCACCGGCGGGACGGCGAGCGGCAACTTCAGAGAAGCTTTCAGGGTCACCGGGCGGCGGGAAGACTTCAAAGCCCGGCGTGCTTCAACCGCCCTCTGCCCGGTACAAAGCGGTCCTCTGCCCGGTACTCAGCGGTCCTCTGCCCGGTACTCAGCGGTTCTCTGCCCGGTACTCAGCGGTCCTCTGCCCGGTACAAAGCGGTCCTCTGCCCGGTACTCAGCGGTCCTCTGCCCGGTACTCAGCGGTCCTCTGCCCGGTACAAAGCGGTTCTCTGCCCGGTACTCAGCGGTCCTCTGCCCGGTACAAAGCGGTTCTCTGCCCGGTACTCAGCGGTCCTCTGCCCGGTACTCAGCGGTCCTCTGCCCGGTACAAAGCGGTTCTCTGCCCGGTACTCAGCGGTCCTCTGCCCGGTACTCAGCGGTCCTCTGCCCGGTACAAAGCGGTCCTCTGCCCGGTACTCAGCGGTTCTCTGCCCGGTACAAATCGGTCCTCTGCCCGGTACAAAGCGGTCCTCTGCCCGGTAGTCAGCGGTTCTCTGCCCGGTACTCAGCGGTTCCCTGCCCGGTACAAAGCGGTTCTCTGCCCGGTACAAAGCGGTCGTCTGTCCCGTTGTCGGTTCTCTGCGGGTCTCCCAGAGTTGTCGCTCAGGTGCCGCGCTACTGGTAACCATGGGGGCTCGTTCTGATTGACAGGCGGGCGGACCAATGGGGCGGACCTTAGTGCTCTGAGCGGCGTTACATGGCAACAAGGTGTCAAAACTATGGAGAAATGTTCAATACTGAGTACAAATATGAACTCCTTGTAAAAAGCTTATGAAACATAATTTAAGAAATTATCAAAAATAACACATCATGATTCAGAACGACCAAACCCTAAACCAGAATACAGGATGTAATTAAATTACATCCTACTACTAACTACTTTACAAAAAGCAAAATGACCTACAGGTATAGTGCAGACTTATATTGGTGGGTAGTGTACTATATTATATCATTTAAAACCTTTTCCAATACTTTGTTTACCTCAAACAGCAATGGGGATGAAGCCTTTTGATTGCAACTGTGCATTGGTATCTGTGGTTTTATGGAAAATGTTATGGAACATCTTCATATCACCATTAAACCCTCGTAAAATGTGACATAAACTGCTTTAAATCACCCCAGTCCACTGTGAGTATTCATACAATACCAGTCAACGTTTGGACACTTTCAGACTTTTGACTGGTACAGTCAATATAATATATATATATATAATTTATAACAGCTTTTAATTACTATCTTAATCTGTTTTTCTTTACTTGAGCTGCTACAACACTCAAATCAACAAAGGGGCATCATCTTCCTCATCATTGCGTAAAGTGATGACGTCTTTGTACTGTCACTGTGAACTGTAGGCCCTGTAGTGTTAACTGAGAGCTAACGTTAGCCTTCCAGTGTCACAAATGAATAAAGATTTGTTTTTGGCTGAGTGTACTCAGAGACCTTGTGAGGGCCTTTTGTGATCGATACAATATGTGTCACGGTGTGGTTTTATTTCCTAACCCTAACCCTATTTTGTAGTTTTCTGCTTCTTGTCTCCCCGGGTAACTTCACTTCCTGTCTGGTCCTGTGATCGTCTGTGATTGTCTGATTGTTTCCACCTGTGTCCAATCACCTGCACCTCCCTAGTGTATTTAAGCCGTGTGTCTCCTGTCGCGTCATTGTCTATCGTCCCGGATGTTCCTTGTCGTTTGTCCTGGATGTTTGCCCCGGTTCCTGTGTGCGTTTGTGCCCCTTGGCCTTTGCTTTTGCCTTTTGACTATTAAAGACTTTTTCCCAAAAAGTCTGCGTTTGAGTCCTGCCTCTCGATCCCAGGCCCGGCTAACCTGCATGCCGTTGTGTCCTTGGGCAAGAAACTTAACCCAACATTGCTCCTGTAGCTGCGACTACAGTGTGTGAATGGTAGTTACTGATGGGCAGGTGTCACTGTGTGTGGTTCTCCTGTCATCAGTGTATGAATGGGTGTGAATGGGTGAATGATGTTGTGTAGTGTTAAAGCGCTTTGAGTGGTCAGAAGACTAGAAAAGCGCTATACAAGTACAGACCATTTACCATTTACCCCGCCCGTGGCAATGTGTACACACACAACAGCGGCAGGGTAGCAAAGTGACCGTTTTTATTGAGCTTCATGAGATCAGTGGTGAGGTGGAGCCGTACCTTTTTACCGTTATGTACATACTGTAAAAAGCTTCAGGCCCCCCCCCGCCATCCATCTCGCCTCCCACATATTCCCCTTTACAAAGAAACGAGACAAATCAGAAGACACAAACAGCGTACCTTTGGGAAGGCACCTCTCCATAAGCCTGTTTAGGTGTACCAGGTCTACGACGTCTACTATCAATGCACTTACACGTTGGCAGCCACTTCTTTTCCAGAATAGTTCGTTCCACATGATCAAGACTTCCATTCATGGTCCTCACAGTTTACACAAATGTCATACATGATCTTTTTATACGGCGTCCCTTGTTGTCACAACTGTCCAGATTTGAGTATTTGATTCATGCAGCTGACATCTATGACATAGCAAGACGTGGGAGGAAAACATCAACAGAACCTGAATAGGAAGGAGGTCATGTGACCACAGAGCGTGGATGGAGCCATAAGAACGGAAACAGAAACAGAAGAGCTTTGTCAAACCGCAAAGGCTTCAAAAGTGAAGCAACTGATAATATTATCAAAACAACAACAAAGAAAGATCCGACAAAGAAAACCTTTAAGGAAAGCGGGGCGACCGCCCTTTCCTCATAAATACAATTCAGTATAAATAACAGTACAAAAGATTGTAGAAAAAAAGAAGGAAAGAGGAGATGCAACATAATCACCACCTGGTCCTCCTGGTTGTAGCGATGCGTTGACAAGGCCTCGTCACAGCCGTTAGGATGATTGTAGTACTACTGATCTGGCTAATATATAGATATCCATGTATATGTAAATATATGTATAAATACATACATATATACTTCTGCAGGAAAGTGTTGTTGAAAGCTCAGTACCCGAGGTGATCAATTCTGCAGCTCACACGCAGATAAAGCACCATTTGGGTCTTTGAAACGAAAAATATAAAAATGTGACCTTTGAACCCGAGCCAAAGGTCCAGCTGAGGTCAAATTCAGCCGAACGGGGGGCCGCGTGTTGCGTTTACCTGCTGCCTACAGCCCCCCTAGGCTGGATCCTATCCCAGCATGCCGTGGTGTTGGCTCTGGGGGCCACACGGGAACGCTGAGGGTGTTTAAGTGCATGCATGTTGTCCATAGTGTCCAAATGATTTTATTCTTTTTAAATCCAATTGCAACACAAAACAAGATTTTGTTTTGCACAAGATCATCGCTTGGCAACTATGGTATGCTTAAGGTTGGGGAAAGATTGTCGTCATGGCGATCCACTGTGTTAACGTGAGGTGGCGGTGATGCTCGTGGTGGCTAACGCAGCCTTCCTCCTATCTGCGCTCCCCCCACACTGATACAGCTGTCCAACATCTGGCTGGACTACATGGGGATGTTGATCCAGTGGGACTGCTCATGACCGCACGTGTCCTCGGGGCTTCAGCGCACACACACGGTGAGAACAAGCAGGGGGCTTCACACAGAACCAAGCATCTGGAGTAGTGACAGTCCTCCTGACGCCGGAGAGCCACAGGTGGAGACCAGGCTCCTGTACAGGGAACGCGGTACTGTGGGACCCATCGCAGCAAAGGTCTCAACTATTGCATATGTTACACTGGTTTGTCCGAGGGCCCCGATGGCCCCTGCTGGCCCCACGTGCACGTCAGCAGAAGGGCCGGTGCAGGGAGCCGAGCAGTCCACCGGGGTTCTTGGAGACCTGCGTGCTGCTCTGCTGTGTGGGACAGTGCGGGTCTGAGAGGCTGGACGTACACAGTCAGAGAGAAACAGCACCGTGGACTAAAGGATTCACAGCTGGCCCGGTGTCCTGAGCTGCAGGTCGGTCTGGCCTGATGGCCCTGGATCCCAGGAGCCCTCGTGTTGGCATCCTCGGCTACTTTAGACTCTTGTTGTCGCAGAGAAGGACCGCTTGTGTCACTAACCAGGAGGAGGACACACACAAGGTGTCCTCACTTTGGGCCGGACCCTGGGGTGGTGCAGGTCCACATGTAGACCTTCCTGCATGACACCAGTACCATGGGGTCTCCATGGTAGTGGGCATCACAAGCAGGTATTTAAAGGGTGCTCTGTTGGTGTGCTGTAAACCAAAGGTGAAGTATCCCTACAGCATGATTCATTCATACAGTACTGTTACTCCTAAGCAGGGCGAAGAGTTTTAGCATCGCCCGTGTGTGTGAGGACAGGAGACAACGATGATGTATGGTTGGCTCAACCGTTAAACGATCAATCCTTCTATCTCGTGATGCTTCGACCTCTGCATGATGTTGCATTCAAAGTCTCCTCAGTGTGCAGCTCTGCCTGGAGCCAATCCAAGCATCTTCACGTGGTTGCTGATTGAAGGTTCTGATCACCACTGAGGCCTTGGCGAGGCTGCTTCCACAAAGATCCACCACATTCTTTAGGGTCCAGACCCCAACCACGGCCCTCATCAGACAGATCCTCAGGCTCTCATCATAGTTCCTTTGGCATCAGGGCTCCCCGGTATCATCCATCTGGGCCCTTTCTTTAAACTCTGCATTATACTTCTCTACAGCCCATGGATACACTCTACGTATAATTGTTTCTGTTTCCATTTAGTCCGTCTTTGCCTCTATCTGCTAAGTTCTGCTATTCACTTTTCAACAAGTTCTCAAGTATCCACTGTTTTTATATTAGACTGGATGTAACTGTCATTTCACAGTAGGTGTTGCCATGGAGATCCTATTAGTTAAATGAGGGGCTCTAACACACGGTACAGTAACAGTGACACACATCCACGTGACCAAAAACTTAGAAGTGCAATCCAAGAATCTTCATGCCGATGGAGCCAGCGGGGGATGCTTCTTTTCTCGTGTCCCACAGGCGTCCCACAGGTGTCCCCCCGGGCAGGGACCTTGTCCTTGCTACGGGACTCCTGCTCACTCCAGGCCAAAGGTGCTGGTTTCCTCCACGGCGACCAGCAGCTTCTCATACAGCATGGTGTACGAGGGGTAAGGAGGCAGGTCCAGGCGGTTGAAACAGGTGTGAGCCCTGAGGGGGACGGGGACAACTGTTAGGACTCACGCCACCATGTACAATACTACAATACACATGTCTTTAGCAGGACAAAGGACACTTGGAATGAGGGCACATCTGTATATGATTGCTCCCTTGAGGATGCTAGGATTTTTGATAGAAGGAATCAGTATCAGTAAGCTTTAGCCCCCCCCCCCCCCACCCCCGCTATCATCTGTAGCCCTGCAGTCACACTGCTGCTGAAGCTCCAAGCGTCCTCAGATTGAAACTGGAGCCCCTCATCTTGTGTCTGCTGAGCACGTTCTCGCTCCGACGCCAAATGCTGCTGTGAGGTCACGTGCACGCGCTTTGCACAAGGTCACGTCTACCTGACACAGAGGAGAGGAAACACTGAAAATAGATCCTGTGCTGAGCCCGAGCATCGTAGCAACCTGCTGTACTCGTGTAGTGAAATAATACACACTGCAATGTACGACCTTGAGCTTGAAGGCAACGTGCTGCGTTCAGGACAGACGACGCATGTGTTGGGTGAAGCCCCGGCCCCTCTCTCAGATGCCGGTGAGCAAAGTGCTGATTGGTGGAAAGGGGTCGGGTACCTCGGCAGCGATGTGACTTTGCCCCACTTCTCGATGCAGAAGCGCCGCAGGCCGTTGGACCCCCGCAGCGAGGCGAAGCCCTCGTAGGGCACGCTGGACGTCCCGGTGACGAACTGCAGCAGGCGGAGCCGCTGCTCGTTGTTGAAGCGCTCTACGGCGGCCCAGAACCAGCGCATCACGATGTGGCCGTCGTGGTAACCTGGTGGGGGGGGACATGTGACAGGGACACGCTCAGGGGGTGCAACAAGGCATGTGAGATGTAATTCCATCCAAATCGATTATAACGTTTTTATTATCATAAACTGCTAGCTTAGTCTGATTAGCGCCCTGCTGCTAGAATGTCCTCCTGGTCCTAGTGTCCCACAGTGGCCACAGGCTACGCTACGTTGTTACTACCGTGTCTGCACAAACATCTGACAACGCCTAACAAACTGTGTGGATAGACACACACACACACACACCTCCTCGGTACTCGGTGTTGCTCCTCCAGTCGATGAGGTCGATCTCGACGGTACCGGCGATGACCAGCTCCAGCTCCCGCGCATCGAACACCGACACCAGCCTGGAGTCCACCACCTGGGGCGGAGAGACACACCCATGTGACCTCATCGCTGTGTTCAGATGGGGACTCACTGAAAGTGCTGTGGACCAGAGAGCCGGGCTTACCTCGTAGAAGCCTCTGACCAGCGCCTCCGTCTGCTGCACCACTCCTCTCTCCACCCTCCACTTGGCCATCCGCTCGATGTAGTCCTTCTTGTTCTTCTCCGTCACCTGGATGTTGGAGCCGCCCGACTTCAGCTCCCGCTCCGTCACCTGGCAACGCACCAAGCGGCGGGTACGAAGCTGGTCAACGGGGGACAGAAACACCCTGCAGCTCAACAACCCTTTGCATGTGGCGCCATGTGCCCACCTGGCCGAAGACCTCCTCATTGACGGTGAAGGTGAGGTCCAGGATGTCGGTTATGTCGTTGTCCTTCATCCACTGCAGAGACTGGTGGAACTCCTCGTCCAGGTACTCCAGATCAGACAGGTCCGTGGACCTGCAGGACACGCAGAGCCACCAGGACGCAGCTTGGGTAAGTGAGTCAAACCAGTTGCTGCCGGATCACAGACTCCTAGATGGACGTATGCTGAGCTCTTTAGATCTGCCTTCCTTCCTTTGTCTCGTCTCCAGCTCGCCGTCAGCAGGGGGGCACTTTTAAACCGTGAAAAACATTCTGTTCAATCTTTTTCACCGCATTTTATGGGACCAGAAAGGTTCACAGAGCTTCTGGTTAAAGGAGCAGCTGCTGTCGTGAAACTGCCCCTGGAATCCATCTGCAGAACTTCCACTTTCTGACCAACCAGATGGATGAACTACTGCTTCCAACAATGCTCACAAGGATTCGAGCGGATCCAGCGCATCACTGCAGTCCGGCTCAGTGAGCACATCTGCACAGCGGCCACACCCGTCCGCTCCCGCTCCTCTCAGCGGGTGACGGCGCTGTCGGGGCGATCGAGGGGAGGTCGGTGTACTGATGTCACAGTGTTGAAGGAAACACGCGGCCCTCCGTTATAAACACTTTTCAGACTGCAAACCTTTTTATTCACTGCAGGAGCATCTTGTTCATTCTGGCCCGTGTTTGCACCCCCCCCCCTAGTCCTGTGTGCGTGAGGCGCTCCAACACGCTTGTTGCTCTTGGGGACTTCAACAGAGCAAACCTCATCAAAGGATGCCACCGTCAGTGTGCAGGGCCTCCCCTCCCCTACCGAGGGCATGGGACTGCACCACATGCTGCATCTCCTCAACTCCCCCGGTGGACGGGTTCTGTTGTGGACTTTAGCTCTGCGTTCAACACCCTCCCAGCTCACTGTGCCCGCCTCCACCTGTCGGGGGATCACTAACTGTGAGCAGCAGGTGAGGCTGGAAAAAACCCCTGGGACCATCAACCCGGCAGCCCCCCGGGGAAGTGCTCTTCTCCCTCTACACCGACTGCTCCTCAGAGGACCAGAGACAGGAAGGATCACCTCTCAGCCTGGACACTCCCCGTTCAGACTCCTCCCCTCTGGGGGGCGCCACAGTGCGCCAAAACCACCAGACACAGAGCGAGCTTCTTCCCCGCGCGTCTCCAGTGAACAGTAACAAACGTTACCGCGCATTCTAGTTAATGAGGAACATATAGATATACATATATTTATGCATGTATACAATATGGATATAAACACATGCATATACACGGGTTCCTTTTGTTTGGTCTGTACATGCACAGACACCACAAAGGCTCCGTAATCCTTGTGTCCACTCAACCGTTCCTTCACATGGAAGAACCCGATGTTTCTGACAGTGTGTGTGTCTGCAGGAGAACCAGCACAGAGGGGGTGTACTGACAATCTGAGCAGGGCCTTGTAGAAGGGTCTGGTGAAGAAAGCATCCAGCAGGTACTGATGGATCAGAGCCAGACCCAGGATACGCCCACTGAAGCGGAACCTGGACACACACACACACACACACACACACACACACACACACACACACACACACACACACACACACACACACACAGGGAACATCAGTGACTTTGACACATGAACTTTGCTCTGTGTTGACTGATGTCGTGCTGCTGAAGCAACTACGTGTATATTTTGTCACTATTAATATTGGACATAGTATCTTTTGTAAAACACACAACTATAATGACAATTGTTCAAATAGCCAAATCACTTCTAATGAAGTGCCAGCAGCTATGAACACATTACTGTCCCAGGCGATGAACAGGTGAATTCTTTTTGTCAGCATCATGTGTTGCTTCTTGTTGTAGTACACACAGCCGCCACAAGAGGCGCAGTGCGCCCTGCAGAGGACTAAAGGCAGGCGAGCTCGAGCCATTAATAGCGTGTTAGTGCGACATGTGTGGTTACTCTCTTTGGCTAGAAAGGCCTTTGAATAAGTGGCACGTCCTCTACGTCCTATTTGAACAGGTGGAGGTGTATTTCATCCCTTGTAGCCAAAGTCAGTATTACAGAAACAAACATGTGTTTTTTACAGATTTAAACACGACATGAGCTTAGAAAGAGGACCAAGACGAAACCTTCTTTCACCTGCTCTCAAGTCACAAACGGGAAGGATCTAGAAAACATGTTCCTCCACTTGTCACCGTATCGCTCTACTGGGTTTTCATCAAAGTGACTGAACTGAATGGACACCTGAAATGTTCCAGCTAGAGAGCAGCTGAATAAAGTGTGTGTGTGTGTGTGTGTGTGTGTGTCTGTGTGTGTGTCCCACCACTCCAGATGGTTCTCCACGAACGCTGACATGGGGCTGATCTGCACGGTGTAGGTGTCGTTGGCGGAGTACTCAAACAGGCCGTAGTACGGATTAAACAGCTCCTGAGACAACAGGAAGAAGAACTCTCTGGACGGGCCACTGTAGTCCAACCTGAGAGAGCAAAACACGTTGAAAAGGTTTCACTCCAGCTGAAGAGAAAATGTCGACTTATTCTGCCCGATTAGACACATGAGACCACAGAGGAGGCGTGTCATGTGTTCAGCACATGTACTGCATGCGTGTAAAACCTTCAACTGAAATAACGGGGCTTTGGTTGTTGGGGAATCGAGTCCTCTTCTCATAGACGGTGGTCACAGAGGGAAAGCAGCCGTAGCCTGACGGTGATGCACGCGGGCTGCAGCTCACAGGCCGCTGTGGCAAAGCAGCCTACAGGAACAGCACCGCGCTGTGTGTGTGTGTGTGTGTGTGTGTGTCTCACCCCTCCTCTCCCAGGAAAGTGACGTAGAGTTTGTTCCTCTGCAGCTCTTTGCGTGAGTACGACATTGCCTGGTTGAAGGTTCCCTCCAGCAAGTGTTCTCTCCGGATGAGCAACCTGCAACGAGCAGCAAACTCAGAGTCCCTCCCAGAGCACGCCATGTCTGACCTTCCTTCTATACTTAGATGTCTCTTGCTTTGATGGTAGCTGTGGCTCAGTCTCCACACACAAACACAAGTAGCTGCACATCCATGATGACACACTGCTGATGATGGCACAAAGGGCTTCCCGGGTGTAATGCCATCTTACTTGATCTTGCCCGGGCCTTGTCCGTAGCCTTTGGCTTCCAACTTCCTGTAGAAGTTTCTCAGCTTGGCTTCAAAGTCTCTTCGGTAAGGAGCAGGAGCTCTCGCCCTCTGCAGGCCTGCGCACACACACACACACACACACACACACACACAGCTCTTGTTCAACGTCAGGAGCTCAATGATGTGATTTTGTGATAATGCAGCGTGGGTTGTGCCCTTCTGCTGCAGCATCCAACCACATGGAGCTACTTTATGTTCTACAAGAAGATGCCGCAGGAATCGGGTTTAAAGTCAGCCGGAGAGGTTATGATGCGCAAGGATGACGTATGTCTGGTCCTTGTCTAAGTTTGTTCATGAAGAAGAGATCGGCACTCAGTGTGTGCAGGTCCACGCTGCTCTTGAACTTGCTGTTGTGTGTTGATCAGGAAATACATGAGACAATGTCCTCACTTCATTTCATTCAGGTACGTTCAGTCTTCCACAGATTAGTCCTCCATAATTCTACCCACCCAATCATAAAGAACGGGATTACTACGTCATCGGCCCCCATGGTGTCGTGCCAAAGACCTACCAGGAGAGTTCTGTGGGGAGGAGGCGGGGGAGCAGCGAGGAGACAGGCTGAAGCCGGGGTGGATGGGGTGAGGAGGAACATACGACATGATCTCCTCTTCAAAGAGACTACAGGGAGGAGAAAAGCACAGAATAGTGTTTGTTTATGTGAGTGCAGTGCTTTGTGAGTTGGTACCACACACTCAGTGTGTGCTTTACCTCAACAGGATGACCAGGTCGGCGTCACATGACAGCTTCTCCACCCCCTGGGCACCTTCTGTGCGAAGGTAGTGGATCTTCTCCCTGAAACAGGACAAAGTCAGAGTTAGTTCTGTTAAACGTGGACATCCTCCATGACAACATAATCCATGATGAGATCCGGACCACTCGGGTCCCTCGGGAGCATCAGCATTGCGTGTGGCGCTTTGACGCCACATGACATCACTGATGACGGCCGCCACGCAAGGACCAGCTAGGAACATATATGTCTGTTTGTTTTAATGAATGCACACTACACTTACTCTTCTGCTCATTTGTAAAGCACTTTGAATTGTCATGCTGTACGTACGTCTTTTATGTTTTGAGACATGTTTTGTTTTTTGGCCTCTGATTTACAATCAAACCCTTTCTTTGTTACTTCATGGGTTCTTCCCTTCTCCCGGATGCATTATTCACTGCGCGGGTAAATGCATTCCATGCAGCGGTTTTATTTATCGCGGCTAAATATGATGTTGCGTTTTGCACTTGCAGCAATATCTCACTGAAGTTTTCCTTTCTTTTGGAGTCGAGGCCTCCGTCGTCTTTCCCCCGTCTTTTTGACATTTCTCTGAGTGTGCACACGGCACTGCCATCTCCTGCCCTTTAATGGGAATTAACGGGCCGTTAGCCGTTGCTAAATAGGAGCAACGGGGCACAAGCCAACATATCGGGATTCATCATTATGCACCTGCAGACAAGCCCGCTGAACACGCCATGAATCAGACTTCTCTTAGGAACTTTCTTAAGAACAAATGTAAGAAATAACTTGGTGAATGAGGCCCAATGTCGAGTGTGTTCACGGCTTCTGGATGTCGGCTATGCAGCGAGTGACTCACACGGAGTGATGCTCACCCAGAGTCCACCCACTCATCCGTGCCAGAGAGACGAGGAGGAAGGCAGCGTACCTCAGGCCGTGGTTCCTGCTGAGGCTCGGCTGGCGCTCCTGCAGCATGTCGAAGACGTTGGGCTGTCGAAGGAAGGCCACGATCTTGTCGTTGTACGCTGTGGGGAGACGGGCAGAGAGGCAGACATCACTACAGAGCGCGTCCCCTCGGTGAGCGCTGAGACGGCGTGCGACCTACACGGAGCGCTCATCTGGGAGTTGTGCTGGCTCCGTATGGCGGCTACCAGGCTGTTTCCGGGCCTGCTCATCAGAGAAGCCCCCCGACTCCTGGACACATCCGAGGCCTGAGGACAAACAGCGGCGGGACACCTTTTACAGCGAGACACGGCTGTCCCTCCACTCACCTCTCAGCTCCACTAGATGTGACCCTGCAAACCTCGTAACGCTCCTCGTGGGTTGTCTTCTGCTGCCGATGCTAATAGCATGCTAGCACTCAAGCTAACATGCAGAACACCAAATACTTGTGTACATTCTTCAGCTGAATAGTTGTGTTGTTAAAACACACGGTAGGCGTTTAGTCTGATGTTCAAAGGTTAAGTCAGGTGTGTCCCCAATCAAACGGCTCCATTACAGGCAGCACGTGATGGGAGCTCCCTGTGCACCGCTTGTTCCTTTAGGACCAGGAACACTCTGTACTTCACAGTGTGCTCCTCCACTGGAGGGAAAAGTCCTTTTACAAAACTAAACTACAGCTAAAAATGAATCTCTGCCGTGTCTCTTCTAGTAGGGACACGTGGGGCCTGTGTCTGAGTGAGTCTGTCCCGCTACACGATGACATCCGTGCATTGTGTCCCTCCCCTCCCGGGAGAGGATCCGCCTCTGTTGTTCCCCCTGTGCCGACGGGGCGGCTCTGGGACAGAGGACAGACACAATCGAAGGAGCAGTGTGCAGCGGATCTGGTTGCAGATCACCAGCTGAGAACCTCTCCGACCTCTACGATGCCTTCAGGTAACGTAAGAATCATGGGGAGTTTGCCTCCCCTCACAGAGGGAGGGAGCCCGGGGGAGCAGCAGGAAGGGGAGCGTGCCCCTGCTGATGGCGTCAGTGTGCGTGTGCTACCTCGCCGGCGCTGTAGCTGCGGAGTCTCTGCAGGTGCTGCCTGTGAGCGAGGTGACCCGGCAGCCGGCCGTTCTGCAGCGGGATGCGGGGGTCAATGAAGGTGGTCGCGCGGCTGTTGTGGTCCACAAAGAAAGACTGGGACACAGGAAGACATTGGGGGGGACGTTGTACAGTTTCTGCTGTGCTGATTCAGAGGGGATGTGAAAGCTCTCGTACGTTTCATTGCTGTTCTTTAGTTTCACCCTCAGATCATTGCCCGTGGACGTGTCTCCGTCCGTCTGTCCCCCACACTACTTCATCATCTGCCACTCACCTGTTACTGCATCTCCAAGGACCTCTCATAGTAGGTAGGTTTGACATGTGTACGTAATCCTTTTTCTATTGGCTGTTTAAGTCACTGACTCCTCCTATTCTGTAGAAAGTCTTCTCGTGGCTAACAGAAAGAGGCTTGTGTACAAAACATGAGTCCATTGGTGGTTTTGAACCAGACTCAAGTCTGTATTATCTGCGTCCACCAGGGTCTCACTCTCTGTGGGGGGGTCTAAGGCTGACATCGGCGTGGGTGGACATAGAGTCCACGGGCTCACCGGGTGGACGCACACGTCATTGATAGTACAGTAGCCAGAAGGAGGACGGATGAATGTAGCTCTCACACCCACCTTGCCCTGCGGGTCGCTCTTGATCTCCCAGCCCCGGGGAAGCTCCAGCTGAGTGTCTGCGAACCTGTTGAGGAAGACCACCAGGTCCCGGTTGTGCTGGTAGCGCTCAAAGTTCCTGGCGTCGCGACGCACCTTCAGGATCATGTGTTTCACACAACTGCTGCTGGTGAACATCCGGTAGGCCGCCTGGGGGGGACGGGGACACTTCACTGTGACAGTGGGGGCCTCTGATCCTCACATTAACACACCTCCTCCATGTGTGGAGAGGCATCACCACCACATGACATCTCAAACTCTTCCATCAGACATCTTACTAACATCTGACTGCTGAGAACCAATTGTTCCAATTCCAAATAACACGTCACGCAAATGAAAGGAACCGTATTAGTGAACATGTGATAAAGACGCTATTGGTGTCTCCCAGGAAGTAGATGGACTCACATGTACAGGTCAGTAACGGTGGTATCATATAAAGTGGTCTAACAAGCAGGTGTCCACTCACATAGTTACTGTGCAGCACAGTGAAGAACTCGGGGTGTGTCATGAACTTGACAGCCGGTGATTGGAGGAGATGGCTGATCTTCTGGTGATTGACAGGGGAGGCGGGGCCTGCAGACAGAAGGCAGGTGAGCTACTTTCAGGTAGCGGGAGGCTGTGAGCGTACTCCGTGAGGGGGCGCAGCACGCTACCTGCAGGAGGCGAATCACAATCAGCCTCTGTGCTGCCGCTGCGCTCCAGCACGGGACCCCCCCCGTCCTCCTCGGAGGCCATGGTCCTCTGGATGTTCTGGTACCTGCACAAACAACAAGTAGCAGCTCTTTGGCTTGTGGAGAATGACTGGGTTCGCAATACAGCCTATCTGCAATGTTCACAGTGCATGAGTTCTGTCATTCCTTCATCCTTCATTTTATGTGATTAAAACATGAAGCTGTGTGGGAGAAGCTAGAGAGGTCTGACCTCCTGTTGAGCTGCTCCATCTGCTGCGTGGACCCCGAGCGGGGGACGCCGTGGTGACACTTGCTGCTGTGGACGGGTCTCTGCCACGTTGTGGTGCGGTTGACATGGTCCACGTAGAAGACTCGGCCGTGGCTGTCGATGCGAGCTTCCCAGTCTGTGGGGGGATGCAGTGAATTGGATGTCAACACACTGTCTCCCGAATGTCATTAAGTGGAAAGGAGCTCAACGTCGTCCCCCTGAGCTGCACTCGGTGAGACCCTCTTCAAACAGAACCACAGATACAAACTGGCGTGTTTTCTGACAACCTGATTGGCTGAAGGGCCAGAGGCTACAGAGCAAGTAGTGACACGATAACACGCTCAAAAAAGTCCAACGGTCCAACGGAGACAGTGTCCACCAGCTGCCGATCACACAACATGTCCTTAAGAAACTAAATCGGCATCACACAACGAAAATGCATCACTCATCCAGTGGATACAAAACCAATCAAACAGCATTCATCAGCATTAGTCAGGATAGCTGCAGAAACGTGACCGAACTCTTGGAGAAGCCAAAAGGAGATTTCAGAGAGAAGCAGGTCCAACTGGCAGCAGCTGCCTGTGACGGGCTCCTCAGCAGCATCTGCACCTCCTTCATACGTCTCCATCAATTGGAACTGATCCCTTTCTCCCAAATCTCCACATATATCACAATATGATCCATTTGTGTTTATATTAGACAACAGAGATACGTGGTGGTCAACTGATGGTGAAGATGTTTGTGCATCAGTGTCCAGATAATCTCACAGGACCTCGTGGTGTTCTAAACAAAGTGGCCTCCACTCATGGCGAACGGCACCAGTTTAAGGGGCGGGGCCACTGTGACAGCTGATGGGTGAGGAGGAAGATGAAGGAGAACAGGTGGTGCTCCCTGGGTCGGGTGGCCCTACTCCATGACATCAGGCCCAAGGTGTTCTGGGTAATGTAAATGTAGCAGCGGCAGGGGATCCGATCCCCGGTGCACCACGATGGAACGCACCTCGCTCCTTTGGGGGGGGGGGGGGAGCCTGTCTGAACACAGTTCTCTAAACGTGTGCATCAGGAATGATGGAGTCATGATGCACACGTTTATGGAATGATGGTGCTAGCTACGTGCTAGTAGTGCTGGTGGCCATTCCAATGGTGCACAGCGTGATGGAGGTGGGACTAACCAACAGGACAAACAAAAGGACGTCTTATGGGACAGCAGCTTTAGTGACACATAGCTTAGCTGAGCATGCACCAGCAGGTGGTACAATCTGGTAACCGCTGCTCAGGATGACTTAATGAGTGACAATATTTCACTATATTATCATTGAGCTGGAACAGAACACCAGTAGACAACGTGCTGCTGATCGGCCCGAAGTAACTAACTAACGAACCCAAACTGAAGCTTTGACTCTTAACAGGCGGATAGAAGCAGGTGGTGTGATCGGGGCGGATGGGTGATGCTGTCCCCACTGAGGGGGGGTTCGGACCTTCCTGCTTTACATCAACGAAGAGCAGCTGCCGACACTCAGGAAGGATCCAAGCAGCAGTTTGACCTACAGGAGGCGTGTTGGGAGGGGCATGGTGACATAGGAGATGAATGCACACACACACACACACACACACACACACACACACAGCCGTGGCAGCATGCACCACACTGAAGGAAGCAGCCACTCTGATGGAGGGGCGGGACTCCAGAGTAAGACCGGGAGGCGTGGCTTCTTACTTGGAGGTAAGGCTTGGTCAGTGGCAGCAGGGAAATGGTTTAGGTCATGGCTGGGTCGCAGGACTGGATGGCCAGCAGGAGGGGAGGAGCCTACGGGACCAGAGAGACAGTACGGGGTAAATGACCATGGGGACCGCCGGGGGGACAGGGAGACGACCGGTATGCAACCTTCTCTGCTGTGGAGGTATGGGTTTAAGTTGAACTGAATGCTTTGAAGTTTCAACAGTTACCATGGTAACCGAGGTCCAAGCCAGTGTTCACCGTGTTGTTGCTTTCTTTTCATGTTGGAAATGTATTACATCAAACATTATAATGGATTTGTGTGGAGGCGTGTGTGCGTCTCCTGTCCCGGGTCCATGGACCTCCAGACCACATCTGTATCATGTATGTACTTCATGTCATGTACCTCTTAAAGCCGTTGAAGCCCGAGAGGCCCTGTGTGGAACAGGACAGAAGGCCCCCAGGTGGGGGGGGGAGGCGGGGCTATGCAAGGAAAGGTGAGATGGAAGGGTGGCGTTTGAATGCAACACAAGCTGCCCCCCCCCCATTAACATCAGATGAAGCACAAATGCACAATGACTGTAAATGATGATTTGTGATTGACAGGTGAGATGAGGGGGGCGGGGCTGCGGGCACAGGGAAGGAAAGGACTTTTTCAACTAGGGATCATCTTATTGGACATGTTGAGTGTTTCCTTCAGTCCGACAGCCCGAAAACGTCCAACTGGAAAGATGAACGGACCTTTTTTTTGAGTAAGTGGATTATTGTCATTATTTCGGTGATAACTATACTATGACACAGAGGCCTTTAAGGGTAATTATCGACTTCCTGATGACCATAAACGTAGCGATTCATGGATACACACCTGGAACAAAAATGACACAATGACACCCACCCTGCAGAAAGAACACACCACCCAGTCATCAGTGACCCCTGTCCACATTCAGGAGATCAGGTGACGACCTGAGGACACCTGGTGGCTCGTGCAGTGTGTGCAGGTTGTTTGGTGCTTAATGGGGAACCTCGAGGAGGAGTTTGGAGTTTCCATCTGATCTAAATGCTAACGTGACCGTGCGTTCATGAGTATGACATCATGATGCTCGGACACGCCACAAGTAACGACTTGGAGCTGCTACACTGCTTTCATTGGTCCAGCCTAACGGGGGTTTGATGTAAATGAGGAATAAAAGGCATTCTCTGCCTGTGTGGAGACGTCTCTTTGCTCACATGCAGTTGATGAATCCATGAAGGAGGCTGCAGGAAGGAATAATCACAACTAAGTGTCGTGCATTGATCCACATGTTATAGTAATAATGCCACTTGCTTGTTCAGTACTTAGAGTGTGAATGATTGATCAAGCTTCCACTTCCTCTCACCCGTGTCGGTTCCGTCGCTGGGCCCCGCCACAGCCGGCTCCCCCGGCTCTCCTCTCCCGGCCTCCTTCATCCGCCCCGTGCTCCTCTCTCCGCCCGCCCGGCCCCCCTCCTGGCCCTCCGCCACGTGCCCTGCGTCCAGCAGCGCCTCGAAGGCGCTCTCCTCGTCCTCGTCCTCGTCCTGGGAGGAGAAGACGGTGCTGCCGGAGAGCCTGTTGCTGTCCACCGAGGAGAGGCGGGTGTGGCTGCAGACGCGGCTCCTCCCCTCGTAGCCCGAGTTGCTGTAGCAGGAGGTGCTGTAGCACGAGGGGCTGTAGCAGGAGGTGCTGTAGCACGAGGTGTCGCAAAACTCGCACGAGGTGCCGCCGACTCTCCTCCCTCCTCCGGTGCTGGAGTCCCCCTCCTCGCTCTCCAGGCAGGAGCGGGACCTCCTCCTGACGGCCGCGGGTCCTCCTCCTCCGTCACCCTCCAGGAGCTGGTTGAGCTCCGAGAGGCGCTCGATGGAGAGGCTGCGGGGCAGGGAGCGGCGGCAGCAGGGGGCGGGGCACTCAGTGACCTGCAGGAGGAAGGACATCAGCACCTCAGAACGTAACCGTGAAGAGCATGCGAGTCCCCAGCTGGCTGCTCCATCACCGCCGCGCTGGACGTAGATCGCCACGGGTAACGGGGAGGAGCTTAGAACCACACTCACCTGCAGGTGTCCTCGTGGAAGCCTGAACGTTAAACGCTCACCTGTGTCCGTCATCTATCTCACATGGTGTCCCTGACGTGGCTCTGACACCAACCCCCCTCTTTCCCCCCCACACCCCACCATGATGGGGCAGTACCTGAGAGGGAGACTGCGTTGTATCCTCCTCCTCCTCCTGCCCCTCCTCTTTAGAGGGCTTGAGCGTCGGCGATGTGGAGGTGGTGTCTCGGTTGCCCGTGTCCTCCTCCCCCCCCGGCTCCCCCTCCTCCTGGCTCAGGGTTCTGTGTTGGGCGGAGGGCAGGCTGTGCAGGAGGTGGTGGATGCGGATGTAGTGGGACCGAGGCGTCTCCGGCTCGCCGCAGGCCGACGCGATCACCGTCTCCAGCTCCGACACGGGGAGGGAGCATGGGCGGGTCTTGCGCCGCGGGGGGGCGTGGCCGCTGTAGTTGGTGAAGAGGGACCTGCAGGCACAGGGGACGCAGCTTCTTTCCCCTCCCTCCGTCCCCTCGGTGGGGGCCTCCTGCAAGGTGACGCTCCCCTCGGTGGGGGCCTCCTGGAAAGTGCTGCTCTCCTCGGTGGGGGCCTCCTGGAAGGTGACGCTCCCCTCGGTGGGGGCCTCGGTAGAAGCAGTCCCACTGGTTGCTGACTCAGCGTTGTCAGAGTCTGGCTTCGGCTGCGTCCCCCCCCCGACCTCCTCGTCCACTCCTACTGTCGCCTCCTCCTCAGCTTGTGGAACACACCCTGCTATTTGCTCCTCCTGCGCCCCCCCCTCACTGTTCTCCGCCTGCTGTCCAGCTGGGGGCCCCTCCTCCGGCTCCACCCGTGGCTCCTCCCCCACGGCGCTCTCGTCCTCGGGCTCGTCGGGAAGGACTTCCTCAGGTGGGGGGACTTCCACCACGGGGGGCGGCGCTGAGGTCTCGGGCTCGTGGGCGGCGTCCAGCGGGAGGTCAGGCATGTCCGGTCCAACGCTCAGCGTGTCGTCATCGGCTGCATCATTGGCTGCAGCCCCCCCCCGGGGACAGGCTGCCTCTATGACCAGGGACATCTCCTCATCATCTGAGGACAGAGCACACGGAGACGCGGTGGCGTTAAAGCGGGTGGTGCACACGTTTGTCTCCATCCCTCACATGCATGATGATTAATCACCTCATTGCACTTATCTGATTCTGTATATTTGTCATCATTATATGTACGCGTGTGTGTGTGCACATAGTCAGTATTATAGTCTAGTTAAATGTTGTGTGTTTGTAGAAATGCATGTATCTACACATTGAGACATATTTCCTCGGCGATGTGAGAACAAAGAGAGCGCTTGGTACCCGGGTGAATACAGGAGGTCAGCTCGAAGCGGAACTGCAGCTGACCACAGACGTGGTCGGTCGGCAACCTGCGGCCCAGAGAGTAGCTCACTACCCGATCCCTGCGGACACAAGACACGTGTGTGGGAGAGGCGCATGGAAACGCAGCCCGTAGATGGAGGTCTGCCTCTCGCAGCACTACAGGGACACCCGGTATCATCGGCTCCTACCCGATGGCGTGTTTCTCCAGCAGCCTCTGGACGGGCACGGAGAGCTTCCCCAGGAAACGCTTGATGATGGGCCGACTCTTGGCGAACTTGTCCTTCACGTCGATCTCCAGGACGTCAGTGGGCAGGGACACGAAGGAGAACCTCTGCAGGGAGAGGAGAGAGTCTCACACACAATTTAAGGCAGCGTGGACCATGACGTTACTAGTGTTACTAGTGCACCTGAGCTGTGCACTGTTTTGAACATGTGCTGCATTTTGCTGTTCCCCGATAAAAGACCAAATGTTTCTTCTGGCACCTGTTCAGAAAGAAAAGGAAAACTGATATATAAATATACTATATGTTAAGTTGCTGTTGCTCTGAGAGTGCTTGTTATATTGTTCTGTGAACATTGTTTTTAAATAAAAGCGTGCAATACACTAGTTTTTAATGCAGTATTGAATTTTGGTCATACTACGATTAATCGCTGTTAATCAGATTAAAATGAAAATCAAAGATTAATCGCTTCCATTTTTTATCTTTGTCCAGCACTAAAACACATATATAATCGGAAAACTCATGCTCAGTGAGTGTCAACAGGAAGTGACACATGTTGGTCCCAATCCAGCAGTTTTATGATGAATCCTGCTAGAGCACCTCTTGCCTGGGGATTTCATGTAGAGAGAAGCACATGAATGCAGAAATCCCATCATTCTGTCAGTGGAGCTTCAACATGTCAGGGAAGAGAAACAACCTCACTGCAGCCACAGTGCTCCATCGACCTGAACAGACTGCACAGCAGCACATTACACTACTCATCATAATTGCCGTATGAATTCTGGACATATGGCCCCAGGCGGGTTTCGTGAAGTTAAACTGACCTTTGACCTTTGACCATCAAAGTTCAGCCAACGGACAGACACCTGGCTGGGTCTAAACTAACTAACATTATGGTACCATTACAACACCACTACAGCACCACTACAGCACCACTACAACACCACTACAACACCACTACAACACCACTACAGCACCACTAAAGCACCACTACGGCCTCAGCCCACTTGTGTTGAAATGTTCACCTTCCCACTTAACTCCTGAACATAGTAGTATTATAGAAATATAATTTAGATGTCGTATCACAGACCTTCAGTCATGTAATTTTAAACCCTTTCAGTAGCAGAACGCAAATAAATGTCAATAATAGAATATATCTGCAAAAAAGACCCAACTGTGGGTCAATTCTTTCCAAATCTACCATTGTGATGGTTTATTAGTCTATCTTCGTTGCACGGACAGTGAGCTGGCATGCTAAGACGCGTTAGAGCCACAAGAGGGAGGATGCTACCGAGGGACATCGAGTGAGACCAGCGGATGTGTCCCGAGGGGGCGAGTAAAGGTCGTAGAGGCCGTGCTGCATTTTGGGTGGAGAAGCACCAATCAGGACACATCCACATCAATGGCTCGTCCCTGTTATCCTGCGCCTCCTCATGGGACTCCTGACATGTACTCGCCCTGTGGCAAACATTTCCATCTGAGCACTCGAGGAGGCCTGAACGTCTGTCTGATGGAAACTCTGGTACCTCTGAGCTCCACTGCGGGTTGACGGTGTTGCAGACCACGGCGGAGCGCTTCTCCTGGCCGTGGTGCGGCAGCGAGGGGAAGATGCTGTGCTTTCCGGGCTGGATGGAGAGCTTCAGGTAGGGGTCGGGATTGAAGAACATCCCCTTCTTCAAACCAACTGCTTGCAGGTCTTTACGTGGACGAGAAGAGGGTCAGAGGGTCACACAGGGAAAAACGTAGGTTCACTTCCAGCAATCGTAGGTGAGAGGAACCTGCATGTGTTGGCGTTCTCTCACAAACCAAACCATGGACAGCAGACACCAAGAACTAGTTTGGAAATGTGCCTGAAAGATGGCGGGTTTTGGCTTCCAGAGGTTTTTCTTATGCATGTCTTTAACAAAACCAGAATCGATTGATCCTAAATGTCTGAAAGAAGACTTGTTGTGTCTTCAAAGTGTAGTTCTCTGCTCTATCCTGCTTCTCAGATGTTACATTGAAAATGTCAGTCTTACGTGTATGAGGTTTGGATAAATAGCATCTTTGTAATCGTTTAATAATTCTTCTAATAGCGAACGCAGGATACGTCTATTAGTGCCAGTATAGGCACAAAAACTGGGCTCACATTGTAGTCCACAGTACAAGTCATGGACAGCATCATATTTCCTGTTACACAGCGCAAAGGACTTTGTCTGAAGGTGAACTCCAGTGCCAGCCTTCAAAAACACGGTTAAGATAATTGAACTTGTTCATGTTCGCTTGTAAGAGGCAAACAACTGTTGAAATCCAGACAATAGACTGTAAATGGCAAACTTAAGCCGGGGCGAGTAGGAGAACATCTGCCCTGATGTGTGTGTCTCTCCGTCTGCCCGTGGCTCATCTGGCGTACGACTGAAGGCGCTTCGGTGATCACTAGTGACTGTGTGTTGAAGGAGCTCTCGTGGTGATTTCTGTTTATTTCATTCACTGCCGACCAATCACAAGCTCTAGAGTCCAAACAGTAGGCGGCGCTGGCGTTGATCTTTTCGACACGTTTCCACAGAGAGCTGCACGCGGTCACATCAGGGAGGAGAGAGCATTGGATGAGAGGCCTCAGAATGTGGAAGGAACAAAGACTCTGGAATCGTACCTGACAAGGAGAAGTTAATGAGTCTCCTGTTGCCCAGTCCGTGGTTGACTTCAGGAATGACCACCGGCTTTAACACCTGAGGACACAGACAGGGAACACTTGATTCTTCTTTCTCTTTTGCACCACCGTCTTTCTTTATTTTGTTGTTTCTTTAATAACGCAGAGAGAGACGGAATCAACAGTACGAGAGTAGCAAAAGCTGCTGGACGGGACTTTATTTTGAAAGGAGGTGATGTGAGGTTTGACACAGAGACAGGAGGAAGGTCCGGCCTCCTCTCACAGCGTTCGGCATCCTGCCATCGATACTCTGTCTTTATTATCCCGACATTGATCCCACAGCCCGGCAGGGGGGGAGGACGGGGGATGGGAGGGAGACAGAGGAAGTGGAGGAGAGTGGGATGACTCGGCTCAGCCTGTCATATTTTATACAGATTATATAAAAGTGAAACACGGTCAAATATGTGCAAACCAACTGTAATAATGGCCGAGACACCGATTTGGTGGACAGACTCCCAACGGCTGCCATCTTCACACTGGATTCATTCAACCGCTGGAAAGTCAACATCAAATTAATTGCATGTCTACCACCTGTTTGCATTCACCAGGTTATTATTATTTTTCTTCCTCTTTAAATGTGCCTTCACACACCTGACAAAAATGAAAAGACAAAACAAAAGTGTGTAATATTCTGTGAGGGCTTGGGGAAGATAAAAGATGCTAACATGCTAACGTACACACAATGAACATTGTAGAGCAGGTTCACCGGCTTTGTTTAGCATGCCATGCTAATGCTAATTAGCACTCGACAAAGTGCAGCTGACACAAATGGGAGTGTCATCAGTTCTGCACCAATCTGCTCATAGATTGGTGGATACGATGTAATCTCGTATCGCACTGAGGAGACGGTACAGGAAGTAGCTGTACACAGTTACAGCAGAAAATCATTCCTGAAACAAAACGAAACAGGGATAAAGGAAGTGACACATGTTTGGAACGAGATGCTAATCTGTCTTTGTGAGGACAGTCAGCCAGTGTCCTCAATGACTCTAATCTCACACGTCCCATCGACAGCACACTTTACATAATCTACCAATCCTACTGCGGCAAATTAAACAATGGTCAAATATGCTCCAGAAATACGCTGTGCAGAATTCATTCCAACCATTCTTAAAGGTCCTTAAAGTGTTACACGGATGTGGGTGTAGGAGGACGGGAGACAGCCAGGTCTGAGAGAGACATTTACAGGTCATGGTTCTGTGCACCGAGTAGCTGAGTGCCGCTCGGTTCGAGTGGAGACCAAGATCCGTCGGCTCTGGTGGGGGCGCTTGGTCAAATATTATCATTAACGTCCATCAGTCTGCAGAGGTCGTGTCCTCTCCCCATATGTCCTTCAGTGGAAACGACCATGATGTACCTGAAGCAACAACCTCTCCCTCCCACACATCGTGTATCGACCTGCTCAACAACAAAGCAAAGGATGGATGGAGCCTCACGTGAATCATACTGCAGAATGAACTCTTGATGAACGTGAGATAAATATCCAACAGCTCCGCATCAACCAGCTGTGTCTCACCGTGTGGAGCATTAGGACTACAGCCACTAATCAGATTCAAGGAGCTGCGAAAAGAACAACAAGGACAACTGAGCAAGCCATCACGAGCATCTGTGAAAGAGAAAAAGTGTTACCCAGGCTCTCCAGCTGAGCCTCGTCCTCCTACCAGCCCTCCTCTCAGGACGGCTGGGAAACAGCTGTCCCAGCTGGAGACACATGGCGTCCATCACGCCCATAGAACTCCGCTCCAGTGTCTTCTCTGTCTAGATGAAACAGCAGGCAGAGCAGACCGATGTCCCTGCGTCCATCTCTTCTCTGTCCGTCCTGCGGCTGTTTGACCCAATCGCCGTGAATGACTCACCTGTCTTCTCCCAACCAGGCTCCTCCCCCCTCCGCCCCGCCCCCCTTACTGTGGCGCTTGTTTTTATTCATTTGTCCTCAGGAAGCAAGTGCAGATCAAGTTCAGCAGCCATCAGCATTTCAGGGTCACAGAGCAGCAGAATGGGGAGGCAAGCAGTGAAACCCAATCTCCTCCCCCTCTCCTCCCCCTCTCCTCCCCCCATGCCAATGGTCTGGCTGATGGGAGCTTCGCGGCTCTGACTACGTTAATATTAGTACCACAGGTTTCTATCAGGAGTCCACGAAGACATTTATCATGTGACGACTGTTCCATCCATGAGCCAATCGCCAGCCGGAGGCCCGGGAGAGACGGAGAGAGAGGCGACGGCTCTGGATGCCTCAGACAGGTTGTCATCGGAAACCATTTAGAGAAATGTCAATTCATGGCTTTTGGTGAAAAAGCAAACACTGATACTAATATGAGGACTTAAAGATACCAACTAAGTTCTAACAACAGCTTTGAAATGGCGTCGTGTTCCAGTCACGTGTGTCTCATGGTGACCGGGACAGATATAGAGGGGGCGTGAGTTGGACGCTCTGAACAGGAACTGTTGGCCTGTGTATCTATTATGGGATGCCAGAACCCCCCAAAATGTCATCAGATGGAAGCCTATTGAGCTCCAAGTAGCACGGGGGGTCCGACACACTCAGGGTCCTCCAACATGTTGTTTATCTACTGTGGAACTTAAAGACAGTGAAAGGCTACATTGTTCCGTCTGATGCTGGATCCCAAATGTTGAGAGGTTCAGTTGGGTTGTTGGGGGGCTCAGTCAAAGCGGGCACCCACCTTTTGATGTTCTTCCAGTGTACCCGTTTGCAGGGGGGGGGGGGGGGTGGGGGGTGATCCTTTGACCCACTGATGCACCATTGTTCTTTAATCTGAGGCGTAGACCATTCAGAAATCAGACAGACGCTTCACGTGTGCAGATGAAGCCCCGAGGGGAGACTCACATGCGCGGGGCCCTTCTTTATGGTGATGCTCGGTGTGGTGGCCCTCAGGGCTCCGGTGACTCCGTGGTAGTACCTGAAGCAGACCTGCGTCTCCGCTGAGGAACACACACAAGATGGGGAGACGAGAGTTAGTGGAAATAGTAGTAGTCATTCTCCCAGCAGTCAGGTCACATTGTCACACATATATATATTTATATATATATATATATATATATATATTTTACAAAAAAATGAACTGATGGAGAAATGTTTCACCTCTTTAATATTCTATTGTTATACTTATGGTGATGAGTACGGATGAAATACAGGTCGTTTAGACCCCAGATACCTACGTTCTGGTAACACAGCTTCAGTGCTCTAAGAAGCCTCCGTAGGAAACACACATGCTGGAGACCAAACGATCGAAGCCTCCGCAGTAAGAACCGTCTGTGTGAGCTGCTTTTAGTCCCCGACTGCGACAGCACAGAGCTACCACCCCTTTGCCGAGAAGCTACATTAGAAGCCCTACACTGGTCCAGTGACAAAACGAATCCCATTCCAGTCCCGTGTGGACCAAAGTATTGGATATAAATGTCTTCCATGGCAGCCAAGCTGTGATGGAAGCAAACAAGGTCCCTGTGGAGGCCTGTTAGCAGCACGCAGAAGGCTCAGCGTTGCTAAACGCTGGGTAGCTCTCTGTGCATGTTCTCTGCGGGTTCCCCGTCTTCCTCCAACAGCCCAAAGACGTTGAGCTCAGGTCTGTCTCTGCGTGTGGGCCCTGTCACATGTCCAGGACCACGTGACTTTATCAGGCCGTGTCTCTAGCTACTCACTCATTCATCTACCAGATCTGCACGCGCTGCTGATTTATTCACTCAGGCTCTGTTCTGTTTCAGTTCAGATTAGATAATAAAAGCGCAACGGGTCAACGACACAATCTATACACACCAGTCTATCACTAATGCTGGAGACAAGGAATTCCAAGCCACTTGTATGAAGCGCCACAATCGACTTAACGCTACAATATTTATTGATTGGTGTTCTGCTAAAAAGGAACGAGTGAGTTGTTACTTACAGTCGCAGAAGTTGGAGCTGGAGTCAATCTTCCAAACGATGTGTCCCCTGTGAGAGCCGTTGATGCCTCTGTTCTTGTAGTCCAGGAAGTTCTCCGACAAAGCCTCATCTGGAAAGAGAAAGGTGAGCTGCTGAGCCCTGCAGAAGGCTTCAGAGAAGTCAACCTGTGTGTTACATCCCCTGTTCGGCTGAGCTTTAGTGACACGTAGTCCTTGTAGGGTAGCGCTACGACTGCAGAGACAGAACGTGGCTGAGTGACGCCATATTGCTGCTGGTTCAGCAAGACGTGGAAGCAGGAAGAGGAGACGAGTGTCCCACACACTCACGGGACCGGATGTGGCTCAAGTGACAACCAACTGGTGGAAGCAGAGGACAGGGGGTCACCTGCCTGCACTGATTACTAGTTCACAGTGGGATTCATCGTAGCACATCTTACTGTAAAGAGGCCGACTGTGTGTGTGTGTCCTCTCAGAACAGTCCGTCTGATCTGCACTGGACGGTTCTGTTGCCGGGGACGTGCAGGGTCCCAGTTGGTGCAAGTGGAATGCGTTCAATAAGAATGAACTTCTGAATTCTGAATCAGGCACTAGTCTCACCGCGATGCAAAGTGTCCAAACTGACGTGGACAGCTCGTCTTAACCTGAACTCTACCTGCTAGTATCTTTAATATCCTTGAATGATTATTATTCATCTTCAGTCATTCAGTGTCCTAATGTCCCAGCTGACTTACCGACAAGGTACATGCCGATCCAGTCTCCCGCGTCCACCTCCTCCTTGATGTCCCAGGTGACCACCATGTCTTCAGACTGGCCTATGGTGTAGTGGGAGGAGCTGATGGCCAGGGTGGAGCGGGCGTCCGGGGAGACCAGATCGGTGTCGCTGGTGGAGCGCGGCAGCCCCAGCATGAAGCCCTCCTGCGTCAGACCGTTGACGGCGTAGCTGTCCGGCCCGTAGCTGTGGCGAGCCGCGTCCTTGCAGCGCTGCCGGGTCCGGCTGCCGCGGGTCGGGGACGCCATGGCTGCCAGGCCCAGGAGCCGGTTCTGGTACAAGTTCTGCAAGGGAAGAACCAATCGTGAAGACAGCATGGCGCAGATGTCCCACAGAGAGTGTGAAGAGGTGATGGGGATGGCGCCATGCGTTCGGGTCAACAATGGGACTCTCAGGTCTGTGCTTCTACTCAGCCGGACGCAACAATAAAAAGCTTCTGTTCCTTCCCAATTCTGACTCGAGTTATCCAGCATTTCACACACATAAACTACATCAAAATAATAATTGAAGTATCTCTTAGCAAGTACTCAAACAAAGCAGCTAGTTGAATTGAATGAGTAGTTCCTTTAGTTTATTTGGGGGTGTAAGTAGAATGCTGGATGCACTTAGCATGCTAGTTAGCCTAGCACGCTAGTTAGCTTAGCATGGTAGTAATGTGACTTTAATATATATTTAATAATGTCACAACATGGTGATGTCATGTCAGAGTGCAGTGTCACTTCCTGTCCTTCATGAGGACAGCTGGGGAGGGACGGACACCAACACGTCTCCTGTGTGTAACGCCGACAGTGGTTTTATCGCACGTTGACGCATTTAAAAAATATATATATTTATTTTGAAATTCCGTTGCTCACTTTTTCTGAATACAGACATTTCTATTATAGCTGCGTGTCAATGAAGTAGTTTTCAACATACTTTTTATATTATCTCAATCATTTAGTCATTTCATTTATCTTTTTTTCTGTTTTCTGTTTATTTTATTTTGATTGGTTTACATTTTTGCAAATACAACTTTTTTAAATGAGTAATCATGTTCTATCAGGTGTGAATGAAGATGAGCATGTACACAACGTTGCACTGAATGTTGGAATCTGCTTTGGCTAAAAATGAACAAATGAATAAATGAAAACGACCACAAACCTGAAAGACAAGCGTGAACCTACAAACTGAGTAAAGGACTCAGGAAGGTGTAATAACTACCACTGCTACTACCACCACTACTACCACTACTACTACCACCGCTACTCCCACCACTACTACTACCTCTATGACCACTACTACTGCCACTACCACTACTACCACTACTACCTCTATGACCTACTACCACTACTACTACCTCTATGACCACTACTACTGCCACTACCACTACTCCAAGTAATATTACTACCACTACCACCACTACTACTGTCACTAACATTACAACTACTACCACCACTAACACTACTACCAGTGCTGTAGTGGTAAAATTAGAGGTGGGTAAACTCTGAATTTTGTGATCATACAGACTCCGACGCGATGCGAAGCAACACAAAGCGTCGCGACTCTGTAAGGCTGTCCTGGCTATATTGCATCATGTTATCAGTAAAAGTCATATACAATCAATGACAATGAATGGGGTAGTAGTTTATTAAATTTAAGAAAACAGTAAAGAGAAGTACGTCAACACAACACAACAAGACAAGTGCGGATTAAGAACTATCTACATACGGAGTCTCCTTTTTACAGTAGTGCGCAGAGGGCCTGCTTGTCCTCCACGTCAGGTCCTGCCTTGCACAGAGGAGCCATGAACCCCAGAACGCGTGTTCTGGGGTTCATGGCTCCTCTGTGCTTCTCCTCTCTATTGGACCTGGTGTTTCTCCTCTCCCTGTGCTCTCTGCATCATTGCCTGTCCTCTCACAGCCTGAACAAATATGTTGAATTTAAGAGTTAACCAGTTAAGCAGCCTGTCAATCACACTGACAACATGAGTTAAAGGAACACTCATGTACTACCTACGTCATCATAAATAGCCTATACAGCATGTTTTGTTTTCACATTGAGAACTGACTTGTTTTCTAACGCTTACAGGCTACTCTACACCTTTCATGACTTCAAATAATTGATTAAGCATATAGGCCTATTCAGTGAAGCTGAATAGGCCTATATGCACAGCTTTGCTACCCGCTCATGATGACAGGGGAGGCAGAGTCTTTGAACATTGACTGGATTTTCTCCTAATTATGTGCGCGCGTCACCAGGCGTTTTTCTTGTCCTTTTACCGTGCACGACCAGCGAACACAGAGCGCGCAAAATATTGTCTGACATGAAACCGGTCCGTGAGGTAAGAAAGGTTGGGGACCACTGGGCTGATCCACAGCGTGTATGTGCCTCCTGGATCCTGATTGGTCGCTGCTGCAGCCGCAAGGCACTGATTGGATGCACACAGACCGTAATACAGCGCAGATGAAAATGATTCAGACTACGGTGTTTATATGTTCAACAATAGGAAACGTAGTTTTAGCTGTTTTAAAATTACACCAAGTTTATTTCGGATTATTCCAACGGAAGAATACAAGGCGCAGGTAACTTTGAGGTGCGTAAATGCTATTTAAAAAATTCCAGAGGTGCGTAAACGGCGTTTACGTGCGTTTACCCTCCACTACAGCGCTGACTACTACTACTACTACCACTACTACTACCAGGGGTAGAGCGGGTGTGCTGGGAACCACAAGGTTGGCGGTTTGAGTCCAGGCTGCCCCATGTCCCATGCCGAAGTGTCCCTGATCAAGACACCTAACCCCTAATTGCTCCCCGGGCAAAAATGTAAAAAGCCATGAGTTAAAAATGTAACGTAAGTCGTTTTGGATAAAAGCGTCAGCTAAATGAACTGTAATGTAACGTAATGTACTACCACTACTACCACTACTACTAGTGTGTGTGTGTGTGTGTGTGTGTCTGTGTGTGATGAACACACATCATAGGATGCTCTAGTTGCACTGAGCTCCTCCCATCACTGGAATGGAATGAAGAGCGATCGGTTCATCCAGAAGGAAATCAGATGACTGATGTATGATGCAAAACCACATTGTTCTGGAATATATACAGAGGTAGTATTTATTTTCTGATTTGATTGGTTGCTTTTCTTATTACTGGCTTCGGCATTAGAACAAGTGGACACATCTCTATTGTACGGTGGCCCTGAAGTGCAAAACACAACGGCAAAATTAACTTCTTACGGAGAGGGTAGGGCCTTATAGCAGGAAGCAGAGGACGGCCCTTATGATTGACAGATAGACTGTCTATTCACAGGAAATGATACAGGACAAGTGTCACGCATTTCGGTCTCTTGTCGCTCACTCCCGCCACACATCAAGGAATCGGACTCCGGCCCCAGAGCCGTGTCGGTCGTAGCGTCCGCGGTACCCCCCCCCCTTTTATTTACAACACCTAAATATAATTGAACAACAAAACACCGGTAAAACAATGGTGAAACACTATTAGGACACTTTTAAGACACTCGTACAACATCGCCATCTCTCCGTGACTTTCTGCTGCGGCTCTCCTGCTGCACTCACTTCTTGATTTATTGATTGACAGAATATCTAGAAAGTGCCATTTCTCAGCTTTCAGAATCCGATTGTGCAAATAGTTAAGGAGTCACGGTGATCTGAATCCTTCATGTCACTTTCCGTCGCTGGCGAAAGGCTTTGGATTAAGAGGGTTAAAAGACAGACAGTCAGTCTGTCCAATCAGAAGGGTCCGTCCTCTGCCTCTGCTATAAGGCCCTACCCTTTCTGTAAGAAGTTAATGCCGTTGTGTTTTTGCACTTCAGGGCCACCGTACTATTGGCACCAGGCATCAGACTGAGTGGTGGTGAGCGGGGTGGGAGGGGGGACTGACCTTGATACTACAGAGCTGCATCAGCATAATGACCAGTCAACCCAAAGCAGACCAACACCTGAGGGGAAGTGGGGGGAGAAGGGCGGCGAGTTACAAAGCACACAGAGGACAGAGCAGGCTGTGAATGGAGCAGATGGGATTCAAGTATGAACAGTTAAATCACACGTCATCATACTCGCTGCACCACGCAGACATGGAGAGAGGAAGACACAGAGAACACAGCATCACAGCGGCTCCTGATGCTCAACCAAAAACCTGTCCAAGCTCTCAGGACTGGTCTCTAGAGACACTCAAGCGGTTGCCATGGCTGCAGTGGAGAGCAGCATTAGTGGGAATATGCTGTGTCTGTAGCCAGAGGCGACGCCCTCCAATGATGCTGTAACACCTGCATTCAGGGCCCTGCATGCAGGCAGACATGGGTCACGGGGAGGGGCATCAGTATTGGCTCGTCTCTACCAATGAGAGCATTGGGGACGGGCCTAAGACTGCGGCAGAGGGGGACAGAGGAGCTCTTGGTGGGACATGTCTCCCACCTCATCGCTCCTTGAGCTGACCCTGCTGACACCATTGCATCACACGTAGAAACACTTAATAGGTGAACTGCTTCATCCATCGGAGGTCTGTGAGGCGTCTCCACTGGGCGTGTACGCCATGTAACCCTCCCTACCCCCACCTCAGCGCCATGCTGGTAGAATGGACCTGAACTTCTTTCATACTAAAGCGTGGTGACTCATCAAGTCTGGTCTTCAGTTCTCTCTTTTTGGGACCAGAAACAAACCTGGTTTGGGCATGTTTTATTTCAGATTCTGAAACATTATTTTCATCAGTCTTTCCTCAATTAGTTGATCAACTCTTTGATAAGCAAAATAAACATCAGTTAAACCCATTTCCACTCAGGCCCAGTGTGACATATTCAAGCTTCTTTTTCCACCAAATAGTTCAACCTTAGATATATTGATTGAGTGTATTGATTATGTAGCAGCCGTACTCCCGCAGTTCTCTTTCAGTTGGTAGAGCTCTCATATGGTTGGAAAAGTACAGAGGCAATTTAAATTAGCAAGACCTCTTTAAAGCATGCACACTTCCAGCGATGATGGAGACCTGAGACTGCTCCGAAGCATCCACCCAGTACACACATCCATCCATCCATCCATCCATCCACCCAGTACATCATCCATCCATCCACCCACCCAGTACACACATCCATCCATCCACCCAGTACATCATCCATCCACCCACCCACCCAGTATATACATCCATCCACCCAGTACACACATCCATCCATCCATCCACCCAGTACATCCATCCATCCATCCACCCAGTACACACATCCATCCATCCACCCAGTACATCATCCATCCATCCACCCAGTACACATATCCATCCATCCATCCATCCACCCAGTACATCATCCATCCATCCACCCAGTACACACATCCATCCACCCAGTACATACATCCATCCACCCACCCAGTACACACATCCATCCATCCACCCAGTACATCCATCCACCCACCCAGTACATCCATCCATCCACCCAGTACACACATCCATCCATACATCCACCCAGTACACACATCCATCCACCCAGTACATCCATCCATTCACCCAGTACACACATCCATCCATCCATCCACCCAGTACATCCATCCATCCACCCAGTACATCCATCCATACATCCACCCAGTACACACATCCATCCATCCACCCAGTACATCCATCCATCCACCCAGTACATCCATACATCCACCCAGTACACACATCCATCCATCCACCCAGTACACACATCCATCCATCCACCCAGTACATCCATCCATCCATCCACCCAGTACAGCCATCCATCCATCCACCCAGTACATCCATACATCCATCCATCCACCCAGTACACACATACATCCACCCAGTACATACATCCATTCATACACCCATCCACCCAGTACACACATCCATCCATCTATACATCCACCCAGTACATCCATCCATCCACCCAGTACATACATCCATCCACCTAGTACACACATACATCCATCTATACATCCACCCAGTACATCCATCCATTCATCCACCCAGTACATCCATCCATCCATCCACCCAGTACATCCATCCATCCACCCAGTACATACATCCATCCACCTAGTACACACATACATCCATCTATACATCACCCAGTACATCCATCCATTCATCCACCCAGTACATCCATCCATCCATCCACCCAGTACATCCATCCATCCACCCAGTACATACATCCATCCACCTAGTACACACATACATCCATCTATACATCCACCCAGTACATCCATCCATTCATCCACCCAGTACATCCATCCATCCATCCACCCAGTACACACATCCATCCATCCATCCACCCAGTACACACACACACATCAGCACAAGGAGCAGCAGAGAGAGATGTTGTTTGTTAGCGACGAACTGTGTTTGAATTCTGGACCGTTGATCAGTAGTTAAAGATATTCTTTGACACCTCGCAGACAAAAGGGCTGATTGAGATGATAATCTGTACGGACGTAAGAGATATTGAAACATGCCAGGTTTTATTGTGCTAGTCGTGTTTGGGTGGAGGTCAGAGACATCCAACTCTGATTAAGCAGAAGACGTGGTGTTGTCGCTTGGGTGTCCGTCTCTCTGCTCGGGGTCAGTGCAGCAGGAACATCACAGTCAGATCTCAGGAACAACAGGCGGAGTCACGCGGCTCATCGCAGCGGCAAACTGATGCTCATTTTCTTTCTCTTTGCACAGCGAAAGGAAGCACCGGCTCCAAAATCAGACCCACACAACTATAGACGTGCACAATTAGAGAAGTGTGCACGTCTTCCTTTCTTCTTCCTGCTGAAGGTTATTCCTCTTTGGGGGAGTTATCCTTTGCCGCTGTGGGCGTTTCGGGACAGAAGATATGTACAGACTGTAAAGCCCTCTGACACAAATGTAATTGAATAAACAGCTGATGAGTGAAGATGATCTGCACACGGCCTTTAGTTTAGTTTAACATCCTCCTTAACTTGGCCAGTGGTGATCGCTGCTTATTCATCAGTGTTCGGAAGTAACTGTAAGCGCCATGCATGGGAACACCACAAGAAGTGCTCATGAAATACTAATCTTTATTGTACTAAACCAGGTAGCATTATTGGTGAGATGCAGACCGGGGGCCCCGACAGAGAAGCACTATGTAATTACCTGTAACAGTATGTAATAAGCAACATGGTCTGCACTTTGTTCTGTTGTTGGTATTATTGGTAGACAATCAGAGGACCCCCGCTGCGCGATGCTCCGGTGTTTAAGGGCATTTGCAGGGTGGGAATCCCCTCTCAAAGGGGGTCTTTCCATCAGGACTCGCAGCGCAAGCACGTAGCGGCTGCGTGCCCCTGACATCGATCCGTTCCATCGCGCCAAGCACCGTTCAGGAAATGCACCACTTTAGCGTCACTTTGCTTACCGGCGAATGGGGACGTTTTACACGGAAGAGGACTCGAGACACCATCAGACTCGTGTGCGAGCTTTGCTTCGGCGCACAGTCCCCGGCTCACAATGACGCAATTCAGCCCTATTTGTGGATTGAATGCCGCGTTAGGAGCGATGAGGCTCGCTAGCGCCGACGGGAAATGGTGCTACGGGAGCAGCGCGTTGGGCCGGGAGGGGGGCGGCTCTAACCGCCATCTGCGTGGTCCTAACGGGGCTGTGGTCCCCCGGTTGTTGCATCTTGGGTCGGTACAAGCGAACGGCTCCATGCTGGGACTCTCACGTAGGCTACACAGCCATGGATGGGCCGCTGCTAGGAGACGGATATGAGGGACTCCATCAGCTCGCGCCGCCCCGCCGTAATGGACACCACCTACCTGGGACACAGCGAGCTGCCGGTGGATCATCTCCAGAGGCGAGGAGCGCGACTCCCGCTAATTCCGACCGAGCTCCATTTCGACGGTAAACAGCAAGAAGGACGCAAACAAACCGAGGGAACGGGCCGATGAGGCGCGCGAGCGTCTGTAGTCACATCCTCTGGACCAGAGTAAAGCCAGCTGTCACGCGACACGCACTTCCGGTCGCTGTCATTACGAAGCGGTGGCTTTTGAAGGTGCTGGAGGGTTTTTTATTTGACCTGCTTTAGTGAAATGCACATTTTATATGACTAAAGTGTGAGATGCGCATGTTGCATTAAGCTGTATTCAAACATTAATCGCTTTAAGCAATTTCTAATATAAAAGGGCTTTTATTCTGAAGGTTCTGTTTCCGGTCGTGCTGGAGAGTGGTTCTCTCTGGGAGAGAGCTGGGTACCACTGCCTCTCAGCTAATCAGAAAACGGGATTTTGTCCTCTTCGTCTCTCAATGTGTGTGAAAAACAGCAGGTGACTTTCTATCGGATTACATCACAACGTGTTTTCTGTTCATTCATCATAAGCAATATTCAACATTGAAACATTTCTATAATTCCCAAATGTTACACAACTTATAAAGATACCTTAACTGTGTCAAGCATGAATTACAAAATGTTCCTCATATCATCACATCTTTTTCCTTTTCTCTGTCTGTTTATAATAATAAAACACGGCAACGTTTATCTCATCTTCATCAGGTAAATCTCATCAAATGAGTTGAGCTTTTATGTTGCGTTAATTCCACACTGAATGTACATCAGAAAAATGAGCCAAAGAAGGGTTTAGTGGCAATAAATAATAGTATTGGTAGTCATATACGTCTCAGTAATGTGGAGCACATCACTGTATGATAAATGTAACTTTTCGAGGAATAAAACCTGTTTCTCATAAAAACCTAGAAACCTTTAATGTAGATCTGCTTACTAACACAGCCACAGTTAAACAGTTACAGCCACGGTTGGAGCATCTTGTTGCCGTATTAGTCATGTCAGAAGAGACATCATGTCAAATAAGAGGTGGAACAAACAAAGATGTGGTATACGACGAAACCAGGAGACAAGGACAGGAAAGGTTGAGACAGAAGACCATAGATAGGTGGACACAGAGACAAAAGACAGGAAGAAGACAGACAACAGACTGCTGCGTAAGCAGAGATGTGAGCATCCCTGTGCTGCTCTCTGTGTGAGCAGAAGCTGAATGCGGGACATGCAACGCTTCCTTTCACACTAAACAGGTTCCTTCACGCCGTCTCTCTCCTTCATGTACAGAGAGACGGGACATGAAGTGGGACAGTAACACTGCAGAATCAGTGCATTCATAATCCCTCGTTGTGGGAGAGTAATTCTAAAGGTCTGGACTGCAGATCCCAGGAGGCCTCACACTGAAAAGCTTGGATGAGCAATGTGTTGCACCTCATCACAGATGGAGAAGTTAACAAGCCGCACAGTGGTGAGCTTCAGACGGGATCACAAGAGGAGTTTCAGTATCTCACCTCCAACACAGAGCAGTGTATTGTACATTAGTAGGAAGGATCAACAGAAAGTGTTTTAAGATGGGTGTGTGAGAGACGAGTCACAACATCACACAACCCAGATACACACAGGGTGACCACAAATATTTTCTGTCTTCTTTGCAGTACGCAGCTACAGAGAGTTTAACACATTTTGTCTCTCTTGTTTCATGTATTTTATTTCTTGTTTAGAGCGATAATCGGTTACTTTCATTGTGATTGAATGTGTTATGTAGGGAAATGCATTGTATCATTTTCCTATGATTCAGGGACACTGGAGTAAGATGGACTATTGCACATATGTTGCTTATTGCTTTGAGGTTGTGTTGTTAAAACAGAACAGTAACACACTGTTTCATATTTTCTGATCATTTCATTGGGAGGAGTTGTGTGTTGTGAGTCTTGTCGTGTTCATCCTGATTCAATTCAATTAATTTCATATAGCCCAAAATCGCAAATTACAAATTTCCCTCAGAGGGCTTTACAGTCTGTACACATACAACATCCTCTGTCCCAAAACCCATCGGCATAGAAAAAACTCCCCAAAAAATGAAAAAACCTTCCAAGAGGGAAAAAGGGAAGAAACCTTAGGGAGAACGTCAGAGGAGGATCCCACTCCCGGGATGGACAGACTACAATGGATGCCATGTGTACAGAATGAACAATGTATAATACATGCAATTCCTATGACAGAAATGATTCAAGTAATTGTGAGTGGTAAGCCACGCGCCCAGCAGGACCACTGCAGGGGCAACCACCATCAGATAGAACCACCATCAGATAGAACCTCCATCCACAGAAGCCTGTGGGGAGGGAGAGAACAGAGACTTTAGGAGAGGGTAATGTTGGTTTATGAGTACATTAATATGATTAATATCTAAAATAATAATGATGATGGCAGCAGCAGGCGTCAGTATGGCCACGGTAGGTGTCAGGACCAGGGTTCCGAAGGAACCACGATCTACGGAGACCTGATAGGGGAGAAAGCACACAAAAAACAGCTGAATAGTAGAGAAGCTGAATTAGTCATGTGCATTAATAAAACGTGAATTATTGTAGAACGAGAGCTCGGTGTGTCCTAAGAAGTCCCCCGGCAGTCTAAGCCTATAGCAGCTTAACTAAGGGCTGGTCCGGGCTAACCGGAGCCAGCCCTAACTATAGGCAGAATCAAAGAGGAACGTTTTAAGTTTTACTTTAAAAGAGCTGACCGAATCTGCCCCCCGGACTGAAAGTGGAACCTGGTTCCACAAAAGAGGAGCTTGATAACTGAAGGCTCTGGCCCCCAGCCTACTTTTTAAAACCATAGGAACAACAAGTAACAGCATCTATGGAGCACAGCTGCCTTGTAGGGCAATAAGGTGTTACAAGCTCTTTAAGATACGACGGTGCCTCACCAGCAAGAGCCTTGTAGGTGAGGAGAAGTACCTTAAAATCTATTCTTGATTTAACAGGGAGCCAGTGCAGAGAAATTAATACAGGAGTGATATGATCCCTTTTCTTAGTTCTTGTTAATACACGTGCTGCAGCATTCTGAATCAACTGGAGAGGCTTAAGAGATTTACAAGAGCAGCCTGATAACAAAGAATTACAGTAGTCCAGTCTGGAAGTGACAAACACATGAACTAATTTTTCTGCATCACTTTGAGACAGGAAGTTCCTGATTTTTGATATGTTACGTAGATGAAAATAGGCAGTCCTTGAAGTCTTCTTTATATGCGAGTTGAAGGTTGTATCCTGGTTGAAGAGAACTCCCAGATTCCTGACGGTGCTGCTGGGTACCAGAGCAATTCCATCTATAAAAACTGTATCACGTGACAGCTGGCTTCGAAGGCGCTCTGCGCCTATCAAGATAACTTCCGTTTTTACTGAGTTCACCATCAGGAAGTTTTTATGTCTCCTAGACATTCTTGAAGTCTAACTAGATAGTCCGTCTCTTCTGGCTTGATCGACAGATACAGTTGAGTATCGTCTGCATAACAATGGAAGTTTATGCGGTGTTTCCTGATAAGATCACTCAAAGGAAGCATATAGAGGTTAAATAAAATCGGTCCAAGTACAGAACCTTGTGGGACTCCGTGACCAACATTGGTGGTCTTTGAGGATTCACCGTTTACAAGCACAAACTGGGATCGATCCGATAAGTAGAATTTAAACCAGCTGAGTGCAGTTCCTTTGATACCAATTAAATGTTCTAGTCTCTGCAACAGGATACAATGGTCTATGGTATCAAATGTGGCACTGAGGTCCAGCAAGACAAGAAAAGAGATGAGTCCTTGGTCCGATGATCATTCGTAATTTTCACCAGTGCCGTTTCTGTACTATGATGCGCTCGAAATTCTTACTCGAAATCCTCAAACAAAGCATTGTTTTGTAGAAAGTCACATAATTTATTTGCGAGGGATTTCTCAAGGATCGTAGAGAGAAAGGGAAGATTAGAGATAGGTCTGTAGTTAGCCAACACCTCTGGTGCAAGAATAGGTTTCTTAAGAAGAGGTTTAATTACAGCTACCTTGAAGGACTGTGGTACATGTCCTGTCAACAAAGACAGATTCATAATATTACATTACATAGGTCATTTAGCAGACGCCTTTATCCAAAGCGACTTACATTACACTTTCAACCCATGGCTTTTTCACATTTTTGCCCAGGAAGCAATTAGGGGTTAGGTGTCTTGCTCAGGGACACTTCAACATGGAACATGGGGCAGCCTGGAATCGAACCAACAACCTTGTGCTGGTTCTGTGGAAAGATTGTTAAATGTTCAATCCCAATCCCATACACAAGAACCAAGTCGAGAGTGTGGTTAAAACAGTGAGTTGGTTTATTTACACACTGACAGAAACCAATTGAATCTAACAATGAAAGGAATGCAGTACTAAGGCTGTCGTTGTCGACATCCACATGAATGTTAAAGTGACCCACAATAATTACCTTGTCCGTTTTAAGGACCAAACTCGTTAAGAACTGTGAAAATTCAGATAGAAATTCTGAATAAGGACCTGGGCCCCTGTACACTATTACAAAGAGAACCGTCTGGATTATTTTCCAGGTTGGTTTCGAACGACTGATAGACCGGATGGAAGCGCAGAGGAGATAGATAGATAGATACTTTATTGATCCCTCAAGAGGGAAATTTTTGTATCACAGCAGCATGTACAGGGAAGAAAATAGAAGAAAAAGATACACATTATATACAATATAATAAGATAGAAAAATTAAATTATTAAATTAAATTAAATTAAATAAACTAAAACTGAAACAAAAGAATAACCTTCCAAAAGAGACAATAATAATCATTTGTAAAAGGAGAAGAGGAAGAGCAGCAACATCACAGCAGTACAGGGTTGTTATTGTCATTATTTAGCCAGGGATGATTTATTGTAAAGTGTTATTGCACTGGGCAGGAATGATCTCCTGTATCGGTCCTTGTGACAGCGGAGCTGAAGGAGTCTGTTGGAGAAGGTGGTGGAGGGGGTGGTCAGGATTATCCAATATGGATAACAGGTTCTTCAGTGACCTCCCCTCCACCACCTTTTCCAAGCTGTCCTTTTTGCAGCCAATGATGGAGCCAAGTTTGTTAAGTCTGTTGGTGTCACCGGATCCAATGCTGCTTCCCCAGCAGACCACGGCAAA